TAAGTCTTACTAGTAAAAATAATGTCACTCCAAATTAACTTATTTGCTTTAATTGGTTACAAGTGATTTAATCAAGTTAATCCAACTTAATTTGTTTAGTTTATAAATAGAACATTGTAAACAAATTAAGTTCAAAGGAAATCAAAGGAAAACCAACTGAGCACAGAGTTATTGACTTAGCAGGGCATGCCCTCCTGTATTAACATGTTGGACAGATATTTCTGTAACTTTATTGTTGATCAGTTTCCTTTCACTCATTTAAAGAGACGGTTGTGATATTTCGTGGGAGTAAGTCCCATTTATCCATTGACGGAGGATGATTCTCCCAATCAGGCCGCAGAGGGGGGTTGCTCAAAGCCATCAGGCAGCCAAGCCAATAACATTCAGAGCCCAAATACTCCAACACCTCCTGAGGATTTCCTCCAGGAAAGGTTCTCTGTGGAAAATGAGTAATTAAACACATTTATTTTTTTTTATTTGGAATGAAAAAGTAGTAACCCATGAACAGTAGATAAAAGTCTGCGTTTGGTGTGAAACTCACCTGTAAAGAAGCACCTTGTCTCTCATTGTAGAGAGTCAGCTGCAGGTTCTGGATGGTTAACTGTCGGTACTGATCAACCTAAGAGAACAAAGCTCAGTTCAGACGCAGCAGGAACAAAAAGATGGATTTAAAGAACGATTCATTACCTTTTGTGGTGCCCCTGGAGCATTTTTCACATTTGTTTCATATACTTTATCTACCAAAATTTTCCTTTGTATCATTTCCTCTTTAGCCTCTCTGAACTTTTTCTGGTATTGGGAGAGAAAATGAGACAAGTTGGAACAAAAAGGAGGAAGCAGTTTGCTGTAGATATTATAAATCTATATTTTGGATTTAATGAAAACAGATCTGTACCTGAATTAGCTCTTTGGCAGAGTCTGGATGTGTCTGGTTTGACTTTAAGCTGTTTTTTATTTTTGGCCAGTCACATCTCAGGGAGTCATACATCTCCTTTAACCTGGTCTTATTTACTGGGTTGTTAAGGCTCATGGTTTTCCCTGTTTTGATTGACAGAGCAACATCCCCTGCCACTCTGTAAAAAGCACAAAAACTGTTATATATATAAAAGTCTAACAAATCAATTAACATGACATTTTTGTGGTGAGGAAGTCATTTTTAACTGACAGTCAAACTATGGAAGAAGTAGAAGGAAACTTGTACTTTACCTGTCTTTAAAGGATTTTAGTTCTTCATCTTTTTCTTTTAGAGCAGACCTGTGCAATAAAATCGATCACTTGTAACACAATATTATCTATTTTAATGTATTTTTTCAAAGATCTAAACACACGCTGTGGTCATTTTTCAAATGACCACAGTTATAAAAAGTTAAAATGTCAAAACTTGTTGTTTTAAAGATTTTGACCATCACACCTGCCTTTGAAAATCTTTTGTTAAAAATTTCCTAACACCTACTAAAACTATTGATAGCATCTATAGCGTGACCTAAACTGAAATCAACATTGTTACTTGGACCTTCATTTAAATAGAAATAAAACAGTATGGTCTGGTTAAGTTTAAAAATGAAAACTTGAGGCCCAGAATGCTGCAAAATCAATAATCCAGTGCATTTGGCTGAGCTTCCTAAGATATTATATATATATTACATTGTGTTATCTGCCAAATCTTACTTCTTTTGTCATTTTACAGAAACGTTATCTTTTGATTTCTCTAAAATTAACTGATTTCCATTTGAGATAATTAGAAGCGTATTTGATATATAAATTAGATCTTTTACATGTAAATTGTCTGCAGTCGATATTAGATGTGAATTTAAAATAGCATTTAATATTGTTTATACAGTGTCAACCCAATATTTGTCATATATAGTTTAAAACTTACTGAAAGATACATTGATAGAATTAAGGTGAATGAGGTTGATTGCATTTATAAATGTATTCTTGACATCTTCAGTTATAGTATTGATATAACATTTAAGATGTAACAGCTTTTCAAATGAATTACAAAAAACAAATATAGTTACCTTGTTCTTTGAAGCTGTGCTTCCATCTCATGCATCCTTTTTTTAAATTAGCAGAGACACAGTTATACACATTTGATCAATTAGATCACACATAGATAACAAACAATATCAAATATTATTGTAGGATACAACTGAGTATAGTCTAACGATTGTTAAATAAGCTGGAGGAGCTGGTTAATAAATACAGATACAGCTATCTGTGCACAACTGGACCTGATCATACATATGACAATTATTACTCAGCTCATTAGAGCTATAAGAAGCTCTAATGAAATTCACAAATATAGATTTTTTTCTTTTTTTTGTAGAATTGTTTTTTTTTTTTTTTTTTTTTGGTGACTTAGCTTTGAGAAAGTTGCATAGTTAACAAGTATTTTTTTTTCAAAGTCTACCACAGGTGGAAAAATTATAAACAAACCAAGATAAGGGGTGAAAAAACGAAACCTCAATCTTCCATTTTCATTATCTACAGTATCAGTGGATGGCTGTCCTGCTTTAGTGATCTTTCTCTGAAATGCAACTACATAGTTCTTCCTATTGGCTGCATCATGGCTTTTTCAGCCACTCAACTTAAGAGTGATTACATGATATTATAATTTACGTTACGAAAGTAAAAATGTGTTCACTTAAGGCTCAGTTTGGAATAAATAGCATTAAATTATTTGCAGAACTTCAAATTCATTTGATCAATTTATGTAGTACATCAGATAATATAGAGCTATTTGTTGTAGCAGCTGCATTAAACCTTCCTTAAACTGAGTGGAAAAATCAGTTAAAAAGTAGTTTTGAGTTTATAGTTTCTTTATACATTCATATGTTTTTAAATAAGTCGATATATAAATGTCTTGGTTATCAAGGAGCTTTTGACACAAAGCACATGAAATACATTTTCTAATTCCTGAAATGAAGAACATTTTCATTTCATGTTTCACATCACTGAATGTAACATACTTTTGTTTGAGTGCTTCACTTTCCTGTTCCTTGAATTTCAGAGAAGGTCTGTGGAATAAAATGAGCATCTCTCATTAAATTATTGCAGCACTTATAGACTGAGCTGACACTAGTTTCAGTCAGATCTGTCAGTAGATCTCTTTTATCTTTTCTGATCAATTAACTGTTGGATCTTTAATAAAAATGACCTGCCATAAACATGAATAAAAAAGATATACAAAGCAATTATTTACCTTGAATGGTGTTGCTTCTGTTGGGTAACCATCTCTTGGATCCTTGAAAAGATTGAAAAGCATGAAAGATTTGATGTCACTAATTAGTTGTTTTAGTTTGTATAAAAGGTGATTGCATTTATGGACATGAAACACAACAAGCTGATAAACAAAGGATTACAATTCCGTATTTGGCAACACACAACTGACTTATTTTATGCAAACACTTATATCACATATATTTATGATTAAATTTAGTAAGTCAGTAACTTGATATAAAATAACCTTGACAAACAGTAACAATCCAGACCACTGTCTGTTTATCCACTGAACATTTCAGACTGTTTTCAAACCTTTGTTTGAGATCTTCATTTTCCTTTATCTTTTCTTTCAGAGCAGATCTGTAAAATAAACACCATAAAAATATAACATTAAATAATACCAGACATTTATACTGAACAAGCCCTGAGCTCAGTCACATTAGATACTGAATCACCACATTTATTACTAATAAAGTTACCACAGAACATTTCCATTGAATTGTTTTGCTGACATTTGAATATATTGTTTCTTTTGCCTTTATCTCAGGCAGGTTGAAAACCTTAGCTTTTAGTACATCAGCTCTGATTTAATTATCTGTTTATATAAAATGTTTTTTTCTAAAATCAAGGATGAACAGAGTCCAAATCCCTTCTGACGAGAAGCTAAGGCTTCTATACTCTGTATTCAGTCAACTTCAATTCTCCTCTACTTTTAAAACTCTGGCATGGATTTTAAATAGAGAACAAATTATAAATATTTAGAGAGCTGAAGGTAATTTACTTTCAGACTGATTAATTAAATCTGAAAGCAGTTGCTTATGTAAAATACACTGCCTGTCTTTGTGTTTGTGTTTCTGTGTTTGTCTCCCTTCATCCACCAGGAGGCGCCTGGTTCTGGTCTGCCTCCTCACACACCTGCGGATGGTTTCCTCGTTAAAAAGAATGTTCTTAAGCTGCTGACTGCCACTACTTCGACGCCAGAGTGTTTGTCAGTTTAGGGTACTCTAGCCAAGCTGTGTTTGCTGAGTCAAGCTGAGTTTTTGTCAACCTGACTTTAACTTTGTTTTTCTCTTTGCCTCTTGGCAGGAAGTTGTCCTGCTAACTGGATCTCTCGGACCTTTACATCCTGGAAGGATCAACTGAGCTCCGTTCTCCAACTATCAACCGCATTCTGGGTAAAACCTGTTCCGCCCTCCACCGAATCAGACAAACACTGGAAACACAGCACACAGACAGGAGTCAAGGATACAACAACTTCACTGGAAACGTGAGTCGGCAACCAAAACCTCTTCCCCAAGTTTCACAAGTCAGATTCCCCACTGAGCCTGAACTAACCGCTTTGTCTTCCCCTCACTTTACAGTTCCAGTTGAGCAGTGTTCAGAGTAACACTTCTCCTCCAGTTTTACTTCTTCAATAAAACCCTTAAACCTTTTCCATGGACTCTCTGTTCGGTTTTTCTGCATTTTTGGGTCAAAACTTTGTTACATCATGACACAAATAAGTATGAGCCTCCTATTGGATAATTACTGCATGGGCGATTATCTTTCAGCTGGCAACAAGTTATTTAACTCCAACTGGTGCAATGACTTGCTTCTCATTTCCGAAACAACCATGTCGAAAGACACATCCCGTGGTCGTGGAAAAGATGTTAGTCTGTTTGATAAGGGTCAAATCATTGGTATGCATCAAGCAGAGAAAACATCTAAAGAGATTGCAGAAACTACTAAAATTGGGTTAAGAACTGTCAAACGCATTATTAAAGACTGGAAGGAGAGTGGGGACCCATCATCTTCAAGGAAGAATTTTGGCCGGAAAAAATCCTGAATGATTGTGATCGGCGATCACTCAGGGCTATGTTTAATACTGAAAGTAAGAGCATTCCCACACGCACAATGCGAAGGGAACTCAAGGGATTGGGACTGAACAGCTGTGTAGCCATAAGAAAACCACTAATCAGTGAGGCTAACCAGGAAAAAAGGCTTCAATTTGCTAGAGAGCATAAAGATTGGACTGTGGAGCAATGGAAGAAGGTCATGTGGTCTGATGAGTCCAGATTTACCCTGTTCCAGAGTGATGGGCGAATGAGGGTAAGAAGAGAGGCAGGTGAAGTGATGCACCCACCATGCCTAGCGCCTACTGTACAAGCCTGTGGGGGCGGTGTTATGATCTGGGGTTGCTGCAGTTGGTCAGGTCTAGATTCAGCAACAGTATGTGCTCAAAGAATGAGGTCAACTGACTACCTGAATATACTGAATGTCCAGGTTATTCCATCAATGGAATTTTTCTTCCCTGATGGCACGGGCATATTCCAAGATGACAATGCCAGGATTCATCGGGCTCAAATTGTGAAATACTGGTTCAGGGAGCATGACACATCATTTTTACACATGGATTGGCCACCACAGAGTCCAGACCTCAACCCCATTGAGAATCTTTGGGATGTGCTAGAGAGGGCTTTGTGCAGCGGTCAAACTCTACCATCATCAATGCAAAATCTTGGTGAAAAATGAATGCAACACTGGATGGAAAAAAATCTTTTTACATTGCAGAGGCTTATCGAAACAATGCCACAGCGAACGTGTGCCGTAATCAAAGCTATAGGCGGTCCAACAAAGTATTAGAGTGGGTGACCTTTTTTTTTGGTGGCGACTTTTTTTTGGCCAGGCAGTGTATTTGGTTATGTGTTAATCTGTCCTCAAGTTGAAAATGAAATAAAAACTTTAAATGAAGAAAGTGCAGATGGGAAAAAAGCAGGAGGTGGCTTTATGTTGTCTTTATGCATGTGTGGAGTAAACCAAACTGCAGAAGATAAAGACATTTGTTGTTATGCTGGCATCTTAAAGCTTATAATTTATCATTTTAGTTTATCCATCTGGTAGAAGGACAGCAATCAATGGAACTGTCCTTGACTCTAATTGGATAGATTGAGATTGGTATTGGTAACAATATTAATTAATGGAAAGTTCCTTATTTAGTACAAAAAACTTGATAAACAAATTAAATGTGACATGCAATAACAAATTTTTCTTATGGCATATCTTCTAAATCATTTGGAAATAAAGATTCGGGTTCCAAACTAAAAAAAAATAAAACATACTAAAAAAACACTTACTCTGCTTTATAGTGCTGCTGTTTATTCAGAGCTTCAAAATGTTGAATTCTTTAAAAAGATAAAATAAATACTGTTAAGTTTGAAAAAAAAAAAACATCAACATAACATTAGATATATTCATAGGAATTAACAGACACAGTAATGTCTCTTTGTTGGAAATGCCAAATGTAGAAAATAAAAAAGAATAAAAATTAAAATTCAACGTTTGATAACCTGTTCTGTAGTGTACTGTACCTTTGAATAAGTTTTTCTTTTTCATCCTTCGTAGTGTAAAGTTCAGATCTGTGGGAAAAACAACCAACAGTTAATCATCAAGAAACATAGAATATGTAACAGAACTATTATCTTATGTTGTGTAGATAATTTGGACCAGATAAAAGTAACACAGAGTTTCAAAGATTTATGTTTATACGATGACTGATTAGGTGTGATTTATAATATAAGCAAAATTAAGAAAAGACACAAAAATTTACCTTGTCCTTTGAACTTTTAGATTCATCTCATTTATGCTGTGAGAAAGTAACAGAGACATTTTAATCTGGATGCATTGAACTGAAACACATTCATTAAAGGAGAGGAATATAGGAAGAACTCATCAATAGACCTGACATAATAAAGCATGATCATGTTTATGTGGGCTTTTTTTCAAGATAGATTTAGACACACTTTGATATCATAAGTTAATTAGGTGCAGGTTTAGAATAATGTTTGGAAATAGTTTTTTACAATATAATAAACTTTTATACAAAAAAAGTTTTTTTTCACATTAAAATGTAGATGTACCTTCTCTCTAAGGCTTCATTTTCTCGTTGCTTTTCTTCTAAAGCAGATCTGAGAAGTAAAATTTACAGAATAAAACCAGCCTCAAATAAAAGCTAGAAAGGGAATAAGAATGAAAGAAACAAAGAAAGATGTTTACCTAATCCTTTGATAGTTCCCTTCTGCATCTTTTATTCTGTTTAGAAACAACAGCATAGTGTAAATTACAGTTAGGGCGGACAATCGGGCACAGTAAGCCTGTAAGATCCATGAGAGCAGCAACTTTTAAACAGAGCGTGCACAAGGAAAAATGAACTTGTGCAAGTTCTCACAAGCGTTTAATAAACGTTCCCTCTCAGGAGCAGGTACAGCGTTGTACATGTGCTTTTTTTTTAATTGGAGAGGGAGGGTCATTCAAGAAAATTTATGAAAATACTCCACAATACATTTATTAAAAGCCATTTTTTGTACAAAACAAGCAATATGCTAAATCACTTCAACAAAAAATATATTACTAAAAATAAAAAGATTAAGAAACAGTTGAAAGAGATTTTTTTTCTACAACAATGAATTGATCCTATGAAAATACAGCAGTATTTAAAATTTAATTTAGCCTTTATTTAGATTTTTTTGGCATGCCCTTATACATTTCAATATTCCAAGTAGAAAAATCAAAAATTTAAGTCTTCTTTGTTCTTTGTTTAAAAGTTTCATCTTTCATCTCCAGTTTGAGTATTTACATATAATTTCAAAAATAGTTTTTTGTTTTTCATCCTTTAAGTTTTAAGTTGTTCTTTATTAATAACAGCCACAAACACTAAAACTGTAGCTTCATACTTTTTGCAAAAATGAAAACAAAAAGGACTTTTAGCAAAACTTTGTATGTAGATTTGATAAGAATATGTCAGAGATCATAATTCTATTTCCATTTATAGTTTCTCAAATATGAAAATATATATGTTGGTCATCAAGTTTTTTTTTTTTTTTTATACTAAAGCAGCAACATTTCTCTGAATCCCCAAATTAGGAAAACTGTGACATGTTAGAATTAATGAATGTTACCTACCTTCGTTTGAGTTCCTCATTTTCCCTTTCCATGTAATTTAGAGATGATCTGTGGTAAAAAAAACAAACAAAATAAAAAATAAAAACAAACACTCATTAAAGCAAGACTGATAGATTGAACAAACTTTGGCCTCAGTCAGATCAGTTAGTCGATCTTGATTATTCTGCTAAATTCATTGATGAACATTTACATTTAGTTGTTAATCCAAAATCAAAAATCCTGTAAAATTTACTTGAACTGATGTTAATATTCAAAACAAAATAATGGCAATCCCCCCTTTAACGACCGACCCCTAGAATCATAGACAGGGTCAGATATTACAGGCTAACGATGGAACTAAACGACCCATTCATCGGTTACCATTTGCATGTTTCCAAGCAATACAAGGCCTTGTCCATATAAGACTCAAACTCACTGCGGGTCCAGACATTTGAATTGAGAAAGCTTCCTGGAGAGGTGGCGAAACGTCTTCAAATCTTGGAAACCAAGTCCAGTGGATATTTTTTGAATTTTTACGGAATTTTGAGTCTATAGTTTTCATTTTTTAATGTGTTCTGTTCTTATTTTTTTACACTGTCAAGCACTTTAGCCAGCACAGTAAGAAAATTCAATATAATTTTACAGTTGACTTTTAGAATCTAAAGAACTTTTTCTGATATCAACCATTTAGATTTTTTCATTGATATTTGAATTTGTGAAAAACAAAGTACCTTTGTTGCAAGGCTTCAGTTTCCTTCTGCTCTTTTAAAGTCAATCTGTCAAGGGAAAAAAACCATTAACATTGAGAGTAGGTTTAGATAAATTGTAACATTATTTTTTAGGAGGAAAAAAAAAGTAACTGATGCTTCTTTAAATTCACTGAAACTTTTGATCTATCTAATTACAGGAAAGGATAATTAATTTTTAATAATAATGGATTGAAGTACCTTCTCTGAAGGCCTTCAATCTGTTTCTCCTTTTCTGCTAGAGAATAGCTATAAAGCAAAATTGACAAATAAAAGAGCTCAGCATAAAAAAACAAAAAACGAATAAGTAGATAAATAAATATTTTATGTTTTACCTTGCCGCTTGAAGTTGTCTATCCATTTCATTAATTCTGTATAAAAGCAACACAGATGCATTTATCTTAAAAATGCCCCATCAGATCACAGTCATTACAAAACTAGAAGAAAAAAGAAACATCAAAGTCTAATGTACTTTTGTTGAATTGCTTCAGTTTCCTTTTCCTTGTCTTTTAGATGAGATCTGTGTTATAAAAGAAGAAGCAGCTCAGTATAAATTAAAGCAAAACTTATAGACTATAAACATTGGTATCAGATCAGACCATGATCTCAATGACTGTTTCTGCTCAATGTTCAACAGTTCAACTGTCTACCTCAACTGTTGGTGCTTTTGTTCATTAGTTTCCAGCTTCCAAATCCTACAAAAGATGAGAGAGATTCATAAAGTGTTATTTATTTTTGACATATCAGAAGATTAAGCTTTTTTAAAACTCAAACCAATGATTCTTTTACAACATAAGTGATAGAGAAGATTCTCAGTCATCATGGTCATAGTCATTCCAAAAAAGTTAAAAACCAATCCACTGGATTTGGTTTCCAAGTTTAAAGACATTCTGCTTCCCATCCAGCAAGATTTTTCAATTCAAAATATCAAAAAATTAGTGTTGAGTTCAAAGCTTTATATATGAGAACTTGTTCTGGCTCAGAAAACATGAAAATTGAACCAGAAGAATGGGTCTGTCCCTTAGGAATGGTGAGTCATTTTGGGTTCTTTGTTAGCCTGCAATACCCAATAGTGGGCTATGCCTCTGAAAGGGGGGTCGTTAGTGGCAATTGTAAGCTTGGCTGCCCAGGCAAGATGTTTTGTTCCCTGCATGCGGGTGGGGGGTTCAGATGATACCGGGAAAGAATCAACTCAATCGCTGAATTGTAGGATTTTGAAAGCTGAAACCTGAGTCCCTCCCCCTGTTTAAGGTTGTTTTTTCTTTCTTAACATAAATGGCTTCCTACACACCCCTTTCAAACTACCTGTCTTCTTTGTCCAAAATGTAAACATTCTGGTCCTCAAATGAGGGTCCCTTGTTCTTAAGGTGTAAGTGGACAGCAGAGTCTTGTCTGGAGGAGGTAGCTCGTCTGTGTTGAGTCATGCTTCTGTGGAGATATTGTTTGGTTTCTCCAATATAAAGATCAGAGCATTCTTCACTTAACTGAGCTGCATACACCACTCCGCTCATCCTAGTTCTGGGAGTTTTGTCTTTAGGATGCACTAGTCTCTGTTCAAGGGTCTTGCTTGCTTTGACATGTACTGGGATTTTCTTTTTTTTTTGGAGAAAATCCTCCTGAGTTTCTCAGAGACTCCAGCAACATATGGGATGGCAATATATATATATATATATATATATTTTTTGCGTTTAATTTTCAGAAAATCAAACGCAAAAACATTATGGACATTAAACTCAACTCCATTCCATTTATTTACATGTATAAATATACCATGCTGATCAGGATCCAGTCTGCGTTTTTAATGCAACCTTAGTGCTAAAACACGAGGACATGCCAGGATCATACCCAGTTTGTTTTTTTGCACCAGCCCACCTATTCACTGGACTGACGGCAGCTGCAACAAATATATATATATATATATATATATATATATATATATATATATATATATATATATATATATATATATATATATATATATATATATATATATATATATATATATATATATATATATATAAAAAAAAGCCTGGAATTTCTTAGAAGTTATTTCGAGGTATGTCATTTTAATTTTCATCTTATCTCATCTGGACTAAAATAATTCCCCTTTGTAAATTAATGAAGATTTTAAGCAATGTAGTAAATCAGTAATTCAGGACAATTTTACTATGACATGTTAGAATTAATAAATGTTACCTACCTTTGTTTGAGTTCTTCATTTTCCCTTTCCAAGTATTTTAGTGATGATCTGTGTTTGGGGAAAAAATAAACACTCATTAAAGCAAGACTGATAGAATGAACAAACTTTGGCCTCAGTTAGATCATGAATTGAATTACCGTAGTTTGTTAATCTTCAAAGTGACACTAGAGGTCCATTCATTTTGAAATTTTACTCTTAATGTATTGGTAATTCTGCTTTCAAGTCTATAGTTTTCTTTGACGTGTAATGTTCATTTTTTATACTGTAGAGCACTTTGGCCAGTGCAGTAAGAAAATTCAATATAATGTTACAGTTGACTTTTAGAATCTAAAGAACTTTTTTCTGATATCAAGCTTTTAGAGTTTTTCATTAATATTTGATTTTGTGAAAAACAAAGTACCTTTGCTGTAAGGCTTCAGTTTCCTTTTGCTCTTTTAAAGTCAATCTGTCAGGGGGAAAAAACATTAACATTGATATTAGGCTAAATTGTAACATGATTTTTTTTAGGAGAAAAGAAGTAACTGGTGCTTCTTTAAATTTACTGAAATTTTTATTGTATCTGATTACAGGAAAGGAAAATGAATGTTTTATAATAATGCATTCAAGTACCTTCTCTGAAGGGCTTCAATTTGTTTCTCCTTTTCTGCTAGAGTATAGCTATAAAGCAAAATCAACAAATAAAAAAAGAGCTCAGAGCAAAAAAACAACAACAAATAAGTGGATAAATTAATATTTGATGTTTTACCTTGTCGCTTGAAGTTGTCTATCCATTTCATTAATTCTGTATAAAAGCAACACAGATGCATTTATCTTAAAAATGCTCCATCAGATCACAGTCATTACAAAATTAGAAGAAAAAAGAAACATCAAAGTCTAATGTACTTTTGTTGAAGTCCTTCAGTTTGCTTGTCTTTGTCTTTTAGATGAAATCTGTGTTAAAAAGAAGAAGGAGCTCAATCTAAATAAAAGCAAAACTTATAGACTATAAACATTGGTATCAGATCAGACCATGATCTCAATTAATGTTTCTGCTCAATGTTCTACAGTTCAACTGTCTACCTCAACTGTTGCTGCTTTTGTTCATTAGTTTCCAGCTCCCGAATTCTACAAAAGATGAGAGAGATTAATAAAGTGTTATTTATTTTTAACATATCAGAATATTAAGCTTTTTTTAAAAACTCCAACCAATGATTCTTTTACAACATAAGTGATAGAGAAGATTCTCAGTCATCCTGGTCATAGTCATTCCAAAAAAGTTAAAAACCAATCCACTGCATTTGGTTTCCAAGTTTAAAGACATTTTGCTTCCCATCCAGGAAGCTTTTTCAATTCAAAATATCAAAAAATTAGTGTTGAGTTCAAAGCTTTATTTATGAGAACTTGTTCTGGCTCAGAAAACATGAAAATTGAACCAGAAGAATAGGTCTGTCTTTTAGGAATGGTGAGTCATTTTGGGTTCTTTGTTAACCTGCAATACTCAATAGTGGGCTATGCCTCTGAAAGGGGGGTCGTTAGGGCAATTGTAAGCTTTGCTACCCAGGCAAGATGTTTTGTCCCCTGGGGTTCAAGTGATACCGGGAAAGAATCAACTCAATCGCTGAATTGTAGTATTTTGAAAGCTGAAACCTGAGTCCCTCCCCCTGTTTAAGGTTGGTTTTTCTTTCTTAACATTAATGGCTTCCTTCACACCCCTTTCAAACTACCTGTCTTCTTTGTCCAAAATGTAAACATTCTGGTCCTCAAATGAGGGTCCCTTGTTCTTAAGGTGTAAGTGGACAGCAGAGTCTTGTCTGGAGGAGGTAGCTCGTCTGTGTTGAGTCATGCTTCTGTGGAGATATTGTTTGGTTTCTCCAATATAAAGATCAGAGCATTCTTCACTTAACTGAGCTGCATACATCACTCCGCTCATCCTAGTTCTGGGAGTTTTGTCTTTAGGATGCACTAGTCTCTGTTCAAGGGTCTTGCTTGGTTTGACATGTACTGGGATTTTTTTTTTTTTTGGAGAAAATCCTCCTGAGTTTCTCAGAGACTCCAGCAACTTATGGGATGGTAATATATATATCTATATATATATTTTTTTTTGCGTTTAATTTTCAGAAAATCAAACGCAAAAACATTATGGACATTAAACTTAACTCCATTCCATTTATTTACATGTATAAATATACCATGCTGATCAGGATCCAGTCTGCGTTTTTAATGCAACCTTAGTGCTAAAACAGGAGGACATGCCAGGATCATACCCAGTTTGTTTTTTTGCACCAGCCCACCTATTCACTGGACTGACGGCAGCTGCAACAAATATATATATATATATATGTATATATATATGTATATATATAAATAAATATATATATATATATATATATATATATATATATATATATATATATATATATATATATATATATATATATATATATATATATATATATATATATATATATATATATATATATATATTAAAAAAAGCCTGGGATTTCTTAGAAGTTATTTCGAGGTATGTCATTTTAATTTTCATCTTATCTCATCTGGACTAAAATAATGAAGATTTTAAGCAATGTAGTAAATCAGTAATTCAGCACAATTTTACTATGACATGTTAGAATTAATAAATGTTACCTACCTTTGTGTGAGTTCTTCATTTTCCCTTTCCAAGTATTTTAGTGATGATCTGTGTTTGGGGAAAAAATAAACACTCATTAAAGCAAGACTGATAGAATGAACAAACTTTGGCCTCAGTCAGATCATGCATTGAATGAGTTTGTTAATCTTCAAAGTGACACTAGAGGTCCATTCATTTTGAAATTTTACTCTTAATGTATTGGTAATTCTGCTTTCAAGTCTATAGTTTTCTTTGACGTGTAATGTTCATTTTTTATACTGTAGAGCACTTTGGCCAGCGCAGTAAGAAAATTCAATATAATGTTACAGTTGACTTTTAGAATCTAAAGAACTTTTTTCTGATATCAATCTTTTAGAGTTTTTCATTAATATTTGATTTTGTGAAAAACAAAGTACCTTTGCTGTAAGGCTTCAGTTTCCTTTTGCTCTTTTAAAGTCAATCTGTCAGGGGGAAAAAACCATTAACATTGATATTAGGCTAAATTGTAACATGATTTTTTTTAGGAGAAAAGAAGTAACTGGTGCTTCTTTAAATTTACTGAAATTTTTATTGTATCTGATTACAGGAAAGGATAATGAATGTTTTATAATGATGCATTAAAGTACCTTCTCTGAAGGGCTTCAATCTGTTTCTCCTTTTCTGCTAGAGTATAGCTATAAAGCAAAATCAACAAATAAAAAAGAGCTCACAGCACAAAAATGTAATGATAAGTAGATAAATGAATATTTATTGTTTTACCTTGCCGTTTGAAGTTGTCTATCCATTTCATTCATTCTGTATAAGAGCAACACACATGCATTTATCTTAAAAAATGTCCCATCAGATCACAGTCGTTATAAAATTAGAAGAAAAAAGAAACATCAAAGTTAGCTTACTTTTGTTGAAGTGCTTCAGTTTCCTTTCCCTTGTCTTTTAGAAAAGATCTGTTATAAAAGAAGAAGCAGCTCAGTCTAAATTAAAGCAAAACTTGTAGACTCTATAAACATTGGTATCAGATCAGACCAATATCTCAATTAATGTTTCTGCTCAATGTTCTACAGTTCAACTGTCTACCTCAGCTGTTGCTGCTTTTGTTCATTAGTTTCCAGCTCGTGAATCCTACAAAAGATGAAAGAGATTGATAAATTGTTATTTATTTTTAATATATCAGAAGATAAGTCATGCGCGCTGGGAGATCCTGAGCACGATCCCAAGCGAGTGTGGAAGGAGCTGGCGCATGTGGAGGGCGATTTTTCTCCTTTTGAAGCAGCAGTTTCTTGTGCATGTGTGTTGTGAAGAAGTAGAGTAGATAAATCATGTGCAGAAGTAGTTTAACATACATGCAAATATGTTTAGTTTGCTTGGGGGGTGTATAGAAATAAATGTGATGCTATAGTATTTACCCCTATTTTGAATACGTAAAGAAGATGATTTGCCAATAGAATGGTTATTTTTACTATTAAAATAAGATAATTAGATAAAATGCACTTGAAGTAAGACAATGCAATTGTTTTTCTATTGTCTTCTTCCATTGGCAAAGTGTCTCACTTACCTCCTCAGGTCAATAAAAAATGCACTTATTTCAAGAAAAAAATGACTTATTTAGATTTAAAAAATGTGGAATGTTTGGTTTAAGTCTGGCTGAATTTGTAAGATTAGTTTAGCCATTAACATTTTATGAGTATGCATGAGAAAGATGGAGAGTGCTGAGGGGACACTGACCTGGTTAAGCTGGAAAGTACAGTGATGTGTGCGTGCGTTTTAAAAGAAGATTTTGCAAAATATTGGGTTGATGGCAAACTAATATTAAGAATTTAAATGCTGAACCTCTTGCTTCCAATGGTAGTTTTTATTGATTGTCTTGTTTTTACTAGTAATGTTTTTGACACCATTTTTGGATTAAATCCATTTTATTTTTACTACTGAATAAGCACAACCAACAGGCAACACAGCATTTATAGCTCCTTTTTATTATATTATTGACTGTATTTTCCGGAATATAAGCCACTACTTTTTCCCGTGCTTTGAACCATGCAGCCTTTAAGAAGGTATGGCTATTCTGTGGATTTTTCCTAACTGCCAGAGGGGGAAGTCAAAGTTGGAAATTAAAGAATAAGGGGCTAATTTTCATTTCACACAAGAACATGATAGCAGCAGGTACAACAGAGAACAAATGTCCTGAATTCACACATTTTGCCTTGTATTTGCAGCATTAAAGCTGCCCAAAAAATACATAGACTGGGCTCAACTTGTGCAGAGTCTACTTTAAATTCCTAAAGCTTTCAGGTTTGACTCACAAACCCACAGGAGGTCCACATAAAGAATACGAACTACAGTATTTTATTTTTCAAAAGATCAGCCACCGAAGAAAAGTCCAACCACATATAAAGAGTATACGCAGAACAGCTGTCAAGAAACGGTGTTGGTATGGAGGACCCAAATGCAGAGACGAGTAGGTTGAGATGAATTCAAGTGGTTTAATTAGGTTCACAGGTAATGAGGCAGGAGGTTAACAGGCACTGTGGCAGGAGTCAAAAAATCCAACAAAAATATCTCAAGAACAAGAATCTAGAAGACATCAGGGAAAAAACCAAAAACTAAGAACCTGGAAGAGACGAGGCAGGCAGACAGACGATTGTTCAGAGGTTGAAGAGAAGTAAGACGAGGATCCAGCAAAAAGGAACTGAAGAGGGAAGGCTCTTAAAGGGGACAGAGACAAAGAGAGAGCTGACGAGGAAATTGGCAACAGGTGCTGGCAGGACAGAAAACAGCAAGGGAGGACAGAGCAGAAAACAGAGCTAGGGATAGAGGACACAAGAGGGCAGCAGAGGACAACAAATGGAAAACCTGGAGGACAGGAACTAACAAGAAAACAACAAAATAATAATTAGACACTTAAACAAGGAGCAAAGTAAGACTGAATACTCTAAATAAACATAACAAAACCAAGACTGTGACAGTACCCCCCACTTAAGGGCGGATCCCAGACGCCCTAAAATGTCCAGAAACAAAAACAACCCACCCAGGGTGGGCGGAGGGGGAACCAGGAAGGAGGGCACGAAAACAAAACAGAGTCCAAAAACAACCCACCCAGGGTGGGCGAGGGCAACAAAAAGTCTCTGGAGGCAGGCGAGGAAGAGTCTCTGGAGGCCGGCCGCGGGGCCGGAGGCGAGGAAGAGTCTCTGGAGGCCGGCCGCGGGGCCGGAGGCGAGGAAGAGGCTCTGGAGGCCGGCCGCGGGGCCGGAGGCGAGGAAGAGGCTCTGGAGGCCGGCCGCGGGGCCGGAGGCGAGGAAGAGGCTCTGGAGGCCGGCCACGGGGCCGGAGGCGAGGAAGAGGCTCTGGAGGCCGGCCGCGGGGCCGGAGGCGTGGCAGACGCTCTGGAGGCCGGCCGCGGGGCCGGAGGCGAGGAAGAGTCTCTGGAGGCCGGCCGCGGGGCCGGAGGCGTGGCAGACGCTCTGGAGGCCGGCCGCGGGGCCGGAGGCGTGGCAGACGCTCTGGAGGCCGGCCGCGGGGCCGGAGGCGAGGAAGAGGCTCTGGAGGCCGGCCGCGGGGCCGGAGGCGAGGAAGAGGCTCTGGAGGCCGGCCGCGGGGGCCGGACGCGTGGCAGACGCTCTGGAGGCCGGCCGCGGGGCCGGAGGCGTGGCAGACGCTCTGGAGGCCGGCCGCGGGGCCGGAGACGAAGCAGAGTCCTTGGTGACCGGCCGCGGGGCCGGGGGCACGGCAGACGTTCAGGTGGCTGGCCGTGGGTCAGGCGACGAAGGGGGACCATTGGAGGACGATGTCTCCGTTGCAGCAGGAACCTCGGAGGAGGACGACGTCTCCGTTTTAGCAGCTCAGCAACAGTCTCTGAAGGGACCGCAGAAACTGTCTCTGAGGGGAGCGCGGACTGCGGCTCAGGAACAGGCTCTGAGGTGGCCGCCGACTGCGGCTCAGGAACACCCCCAGAGGCTACCGCCGACTGCGGCTCAGGAACACCCCCAGAGGCTACCGCCGACTGCGGCTCCAGGACTGGAACAGGGGAGCCCTCCGATTGCGGCTCCGGATCAGGAACAGGGGAGCCCGCCGATTGCGGCTCCGGATCAGGAACAGGGGAGCCCGCCGATTGCGGCTCCGGATCAGGAACAGGGGAGCCCGCCGATTGCGGCTCCGGATCAGGAACAGGGGAGCCCGCCGATTGCGGCTCCACCTCAGGAACGGGGGAGCCTACCGATTCCGGCTCCACCTCAGGAACGGGGGAGCCCGCCGATTGCGGCTCCACCTCAGGAACGGGTGAGTCCACCGACTGTGGCTCCCAATCAGGAACGGGGAAAACCACCGACTGTGGCTCCCAATCAGGAACGGGGAAGACCACCGACTGTGGCTCCCAATCAGGAACGGGGAAGACCACCGACTGTGGCTTCCAATAAGGAACTGAAGAGACCATTGACTGTGGCTCCACATCAGGAACTGAAGAGACCCTTGACTGTGGCTCCACATCAGGGACTGAGGAGACCACCAACTGTGGTTCCACATCAGGGACTGAGGAGACCACCGACTGTGGCTCCACATCAGGAGTCTCAGGAAGAAGCAGAGTGAGCTCAGGGGTCTCCAGACGGCACAGAGCTAACTCAGGGGTCTCCAGACGGCACGGAGCTAACTCAGGGGTCTCTAGACGGCACGGCACTGGCTCGGGGGTTTCTAGATGGCTCAGAGCAGGCTTACGGCGACGCCGTTTCTTACGTTGGGGTTCAATGGAAACAGGTCTAAAGGGTTCGGGTTGACAGACTGATTCTGGTAACAAGCTATCTGGTGTGCAAGAGGGTTCTGGTTCTAGGCTAGCTGGTTTAACTGAATTGCTAACAGGTGTAGGAGTAGGATTAACTGGTTCGTGGACTGGTTCAGACAAAAGGCTAACTGGTGTGCTAATGGATTCAGAGATTAAACTAACTGGTTGGGTTGTGTTTTGTTTCTTGGACTGTTTTTGGCTTCTTGCCCTCCTTCCTGGTTCCCCCTCCGCCCACCCGGGGTTTTTGTTTTTGGACATTAAAGGGGCGTCTGGAATCCGCCCTTAAGTGGGGGGCTCTGTAATGATCTTGGTTCTGTTGTTTTTTTCTTTAAGTTTCTGTTTCAAGTTTAGCCAGGTTTTTCATTGTTTTCTAGCTTTTTTGGTGTGGCTGGATCCTTCTGTCAAGAAACGGTGTTGGTATGGAGGACCCAAATGCAGAGACGAGTAGGTTGAGATGAATTCAAGTGGTTTAATTAGGTTCACAGGTAATGAGGCAGGAGGTTAACAGGCACTGTGGCAGGAGTCAAAAAATCCAACAAAAATATCTCAAGAACAAGAATCTAGAAGACATCAGGGAAAAAACCAAAAACTAAGAACCTGGAAGAGACGAGGCAGGCAGACAGACGATTGTTCAGAGGTTGAAGAGAAGTAAGACGAGGATCCAGCAAAAAGGAACTGAAGAGGGAAGGCTCTTAAAGGGGACAGAGACAAAGAGAGAGCTGACGAGGAAATTGGCAACAGGTGCTGGCAGGACAGAAAACAGCAAGGGAGGACAGAGCAGAAAACAGAGCTAGGGATAGAGGACACAAGAGGGCAGCAGAGGACAACAAATGGAAAACCTGGAGGACAGGAACTAACAAGAAAACAACAAAATAATAATTAGACACTTAAACAAGGAGCAAAGTAAGACTGAATACTCTAAATAAACATAACAAAACCAAGACTGTGACAACAGCTCAGTTATCCAGGATTGATAGAGGAGGAACCACAGAGATGTTCTCATTTTATTATTACTTAACTTATTCATTTATCCATATGGTCCATTGAATATTTTTAAAACATTAATTTCCATCACATTTTCCAAAATGAAACATCCAGAGATATCATGCTAAGTGTTTATAAAATCTACAGCCTCCTAGAATGTCTAAATTGTTTAGCTGTTTTGTCAATTGTAAAAAAAAAACAAAATAAGAAGAAAATAAGTGAAGCTTTTAATCCTTAGCAGTGATGGGACTAACGCCGTTACCTTGTTTTAGTAACGAGTAATCCAACTAATTACTTTGACTGTAACTATAACACAGTTACCATTGCAGACACCCCGTTACTGCGCGTTACTCAGGTCGCACAATGAACCTTTTTTCATGATAGGACTCGTGCGCAGCTGCGTGAAGCTGACACCCCACCCACGTCAAAAAACTCTGCAAATAGACTGAATGGTTAGTGCAACGTTAGTGCAGATTTGTGCAGAAAAAAAATATTGTTTGTGCTACTTTTGTTTAAGAGATATTAAAGATTATTTTTTTAGGTCATCGAGAGGTGCGCGCCTTGTCATGAGAGAGGGGAGGATGAGAATGGCTGATATATAGTGAGATTCCGTCTGTCAGTTGGGTAGGTGGGTGTTTCTGCTGGCGGGTGTTAACGTACAGCACACAAAAAGAGATGGAGAGTGAGGATGACTCCAGCAGCAAAACAACATTTTCCTGATGGAAATACCGGTGTTACGTCGAGCTGCGTTTCCCCATCACATACGGTTTCCCCTGCATCTCCGCACAGCGCAGGCGGCACGAGTCACCGCGCAAGCGACAGGAAACGCGTATGCTCGCTAAAGGCGCGTAACAGTCGCCCTGTGCTCGCACCACAGGAGAACTATGGAGAGCGTGAACGATCAAATGAAAGGGAGAAATCTGGATGGATGGATGGATGGATGGATGGATGGATGGATGGATGGATGGATGGATGGATGGATGGATGGATGGATGGATGGATGGATGGATGGATGGATGGATGGATGGATGGATGGATGGATACTCTGCCTTTTCAACCTACTGTATTTTTTATTTTAAACATTATTTGATGGCCTTTGTGGCAGGGATGGAGATCCATATTTTATGTCACACGCAGAATATACATCTTGATAGATAGATGGATAGATAGATGTTGCCGTATCTATAACAACCCAAACACACAGGATTTCAGAATTAGACATCCCCAGTTATTAATTTCACCAGATGTCATTTACGTTGAGTTGCAATAAATGCTAAACTCTCTGCAGGTTCTTGTCTTTGTCGTCCGCTCTATTCAGCTGGCTTTGAAACACACGGCGAGAAGGTGGGGGCTGGGTGGTGAGGGTTACGGGGGCGAGAAACGCAAAAGTAACACAATAGTTACTTTTACTAGTAACTAGTTACTTTTATTGTGGAGTAACTCAGTTAGTAACTCAGTTACTTTTTGGGAGAAGTAACTAGTAACTATAACTAATTACTTTTTCAAAGTAACGTGCCCAACACTGATCCTTAGCCTACCAAATATTCATATGCAGTAAAGTTTTCATAGGATTATGATTGCAATGGTTCCTGTATTAGTGCCAGTAATCCTGTAATAGTTTATTAGTTCTGCATTGTTTATTTTACTTGAATGGCTCAGAATAATTGATAAACAAAGTTGTGAAATTCTTAGTTTACAGTATATTTAAGATGCAAATATTTTAGTAGGGCCCAATCTTCTTTAATTAAATTCTCTTAAAATCACCAGAATATATACGATATATGTATTTTGTAGGAAAAATTTTCAAAATATCTACAGATCACTTATTGTTATTCAGTTACATTTACTGTTCTATCAAAAATTCCATAGTTTGCCACTTTGTTTCGGTTAAATCCTCTGAAAACCTTCAACCTTTAGTGCACCCATCCATAGAGCCTTTCAATTACAATGGTTACCTGTCCAAACTTGCATACTGACTGTGAAATATGAATTGCCTTTTTCTATTATAAGTTAAAGTAATCTACTGACACTATGAAACAGCAAGTGTGTGTCCAAGTGATGAATTTATTTTTATTTTAAAAGTCTTAAGCCCCCTGAAAATGAAAATATCACTATTGTTTGATGCTGTAGCGGACATATTCTTTACACTGAGACCGGTCTAATGAGGGAGTATTAATATGGCGACCGGTGGCTTCACTTCCACCCGGTGGTATCAACGGGCAATCAGCAATCCAGTGAATAAATAGAGATCAGTGGTCCAAACTCTTTCAAACAATCATTCCAAGGTTTCGTGAAAAGTTGGCAGCCCTGCCCTACAGGTTTGATGGGAGACAGTCCAGTAGATATCAGTGGCTTTTAGCCCTGTGCAGTTTATATATGTACATTTCCAGTTTTTGAAAAATTTTTTGGGCACGACTTATAGTGAGCTGTGCTTTATAGCCTGGAAAATATCGATATTGCCCACTGCTTGTTTTTTTTTTTTTTTTCTGTGCTTTAGTTCTGCTGCTCTGATCTCAGTCAGCAGATCCTCAATCTCCAGACTCACTGAAAAAATACTGCAACCGTTTATGGCATTTACTTAATCATATTTATTTACTTTAACACAACTGTTTAATGTCCTACACTGCTAACATGACACAATTGTGTTAAAGGAATTAAATATGATTAAGTAAATGCCAAAAACAGTTGCATTCGTTTTTTCAACCATTTCTGTTAATGAACACCATCTGATAAGCACTGAAAGTCACAGCCTTTTATGGAAGTATTGTGGCAGTAATTATGCAGATTTTCAATTCTTATGAACTTGCGTTAACAGACGGAATCCATCGTGTTTATAGGGATAATTTACTGAAGATAACAACTTTTGTTGAATTTGGTATGGCGCACGAGTCCACGGTAGTAGAAAAAGTAAGAGAAAGTTATGACAAGAATATAAAAATGTTGCTGCATGACACTCAAAGTTTTGAATTTGTTTCGTTAAGTCCACTAAACTTTTATACAAACAAATCGAAATGCTTCACATCTATGAATAACTGTACCTTCTCTCCAAGTCTTGATTTTCCTTTTCCTTTTCTTTTAAAGCAGATCTGAAAAGTAAAATACACAGAATAAAAGCAAGCTCAGTAAAAAGAGTTGTTAGATCCATCAGTTGTATATATAAAACTCAATGGCAGTTTATATCTGACATTTAAACTTAATAAAATCATTAGATTATAAATAACAAACAATATGCTGAATCAGTTCAACAAAAAATCTATTACTATATAAAAAGAGTTTAAATAATGTTTGAGATTTTTTCTACAACAATGAATTGATCCTATTAAAAAACTGAGATATTTAAAATTCAATTTAGCCTTTAATTTTTTAGTTTTTGGCATGCCCTAATACATTTCAATAATCCAGGTAGAAAAACAAAAACGTAAAAGTCCTCTGGAAGGTTTCCTCTTTGTTTAAAAGTTTCATCTTTTGTCCATAGGACCTCTTCAGTCTGAGTATTCACAGGTAAGTTCAGCCTCATGAGAAGCATCTTTACAAAGTGGAATCAACGAGTCCCATAAGAAACTGGTTGCTCAAATAATCGATTTAACAGATTTTTTTTTTCTAAACTAATTTTAAGTATTTGATGCCTAAAAAATTATAAAACATTCTAAGATTCAGAATCCTAATTAATGTTTCCAAACTGGTTGGTTTGCATTTAAGGACATTATTGATATTAAATGTTGATATACAATAAAAGAATAAAAAGATAAATACTTACTCTTTTTTATGATGGTGCTGTTGGTAAAAGGCTTCAGTTTGTTGAATTCTTTAAGAAAATAAATCAAGACTTTATTAATTTAAAAAATCTAACAAAATATAAATTCAACATGACATTAAATGTATCTATTTGTAGGAAATAACAGAGGCAATAGTGGCTTTTGAAGCTGACAAATACAGAGAATAAAATAATAATAGTAATATAAAAATAAAAGTTAAAAAAAATTAGAACATATTAGAACAAGCTCTGTTGTGTACCTTTGAATAAGTTTTTCATTTTCGTCATTCTTAGTGTCAAGTTCAGATCTGTGGGATGAAAACAACACATCATAAAGAGCAACAGATTGATATGTGGATTAAACAAGTGACACATAAAACAGTCAATCATCTGGATAAGAAACACAGAATATATAACAGAACTATTATCTTGGATTGCATAGATAGTTTGGACCAAACAGGAGGAAGGAAATTCTAAAAATAGGACTGAGTCTTACAGATTAATTTTTTATATGATGACTGATTATGTGTAATTCATTTATAATGTTGAGCAAAATAAAATAGAAAAATTTTTACCTTGTTCTTTGAACTTGCATATTTATCTCTTTTATGCTGTGGGAAAGTAACAGAGACTTTTAGTCTGGAGGTATTTAATTAAAACACATTCATAAAAAGAAAGGAATATAGGAAGAATATCAGTAGCTGACATAATAAAACATGATCATGTTTAAACAGGATGTTGTTCAAGATTTAGACACACCATTATGTCATAAGTAATAAGGTGCAAACTGAGGGTATTATATTGAAATTGTTTTTTGACATACAATAAACTTTTATTTTCAAAAAAGTTATGTTTAAAATCAAAGAATAAATGTACCTTCTCTCCAAGGCTTCATTTTCTTGTTCCTTTTCTTTTAGAGCAGATCTGAGAAGTAAAATACACAGAATAAAACCAAGTCACAACAACAGAAAGGGAATAAGAATGAGGGAAACAAAGAAAGATGTTTACCTTTTTCTTATATATTGCTCTTCTGCATCATTTATTCTGTGTGAAAACATCAGCATAGTGTCAATTACAGCTAGATTCATCAGTGGTGCACATCAAACTGACTGTCACTACCTCGACGCCAGAGTGTTTGCTAGTTTTGGGTACTCTAGCCAAGCTGAGTTTTGTTGAGTCAAACTGAGTTTTTGTCACCTGAGTCGTAACCTTGTTGTTTTTTGTCTTTGCCTCTCGGCAGGAAGTCATCCTGCAAACTTGATTTTTTGGACCTTCTCCCCCTGGAAGGATTGTCTGAGCGTCAAACTGAGCTAAGGATTCAAACAGGTGGTTTGGATAAACTTTTCCCCTAGGATTGTTTGGGCATTCATTTGGGGATTCATTTCTACAAGAAACCGTTCAAGTACCATAGGAAATCTAAGTGGCAGTCAGCTGCTCCGTTCCTCAAGGAAACACCTCAACCTCGGTAAACTCTGTCCACCCTCCAACGAGCAAGTCTATTACTGGAACAAACCACACCTACTGGATTCAAAGAAAGACACCTTTTCTGGAAACGTGAGTCCTGTTGCCTTTATTTCCTTTTACAATCGAAAAACAAATTTCCCTCTGAGCCTGAACTAACCGCATGATCTTCCCCTTCACTTTTCAGTCCCGGTTCGCCAGTGTTCAGAGCAGCACTGGACCTTCTCTACCAGTTCATAATAAACCTGTTAAACCTTCCCCTGTTCTCTCCGTTTGGTTTTCTGCATGTGGGTCAGATCTTTGGATAAAATCATGACAAGTGGTGGAATAAGCCGGAGGGTGAGTGTGACTGAGGACAATCTGAGAAAGACAGAGGACATGGGATGGAGGTGGGTGAAATTTTGCTTGCATACGGGGGAGAGAAGCTGGGCCAGGAGCTAAATAAAGGGGATCTTGAAAGCTGATTCGGAGAAGGTGCGGCCCCAGTAGTTGATTGGCTGGAACTGAACGAGGAACATCGCAGGTGTTTTAGGTGAAGCTGATAAGAGTCTTCCAGATTGAATTTTTGCTTAAGCTTCATTTCTCTGACTCCCCAAGTTAGTTACATTTTACTGTGACATGTTAGACTTAATTAATGTTCCCTACCTTTGTTTGAGTTCTTCAGTTTCCCTGTATTTTAGAGATGATCTGTGGTGGGGAAAAAAAAAAATCATTCATTAAAGGAAGACTGATAGACTGAAAAACCTTTGGCCTCAGTCAGATCAGTTAGTCGATCTTGATTATTATGCTGAGTTCATTGATAAACAATTACATTTAATTAGTTTGTTAATCCACTTCATGCTTTCATTGTGTAGCTTTTTCATTTGACCCGAAACCAAAAATCATGTTAAAATCATGTTAAAAGCCAAACTAGAGGTCCATTCATTTTGAGATTTTTCTCTTCATTATTGATAATTCTAGTTTCAACTCTTTAGTTTTCTTTTTTTAATGTGTTCTGTTCTTCATTTTTCATGCTGTCATGCACTCTGAGCAGCTTAGTATGAAAATTCAATATAAGTGTTACAGTTGACTTTTAGAATCTGAAGAGCTTTTTCTGATATCAAGTATTTAGAGCTTTTATTAATATTAGATTTTTTGAAAAACAAAGTACCTTTGCTGCAAGGCTTCAATTTCCCTTTGCTCTTCTTTTTGAGTCGATCTGTCAGGGAAATAAAACCAATTGAAATTAGTTTTAAATAAATTGTAACATTATTTTATTAAGAACAATAAATGTAACTGGTGCTTCTTTAAATTCACTGAAACTTTTGATCTATCCATAAAGGAAAGGATATTAAAGTTTTATAATAATGCATTCAAGTACCTTCTCCGAAGGACTTCAATTTGTTTTTCCTTTTCTGTTAGAGTATAGCTGCAAAGCAAAATGAACAAATAAAAAAGAGCTCACTAAAAATAAATATATAATATAATTAGTGGATAATTTAGTACTCAATTTTTTACCTTGCCATTTGAAGATGTCTACCCATTTCATCTATCCTGTATAAAAGCAACACAGATGCATTTATCTTGAAATTCCCCATCAGATCACAGTCATTACAAAAATAAAATAAAAGAAACATCAAAGTGTAACATACTTTTGTTGAAGTGCTTCAGTTTCCTTTTCCTTGTCTCTTAGATGAGATCTGTGTTAAAAAAGAAGCTCAGTCTAAACTAAAGGAAAACTTGTAGATTCTAAAAACATTAATTTCACATGAGACCATGATCTAAATAAATGTTTGTGCTCAATGTTCTACAATTCATCTACCTCAACTGTTGTTGCTTTCGTTCATTAGATTCCAGCTCCCGAATCCTTCAAAAAATTACAGAGATTCATAAAGCATTATTTATTTTTTACATACCAGAAGATTAAGCTTTTTTAAAATTCTAATTATCTTAAACAGATACAGTAGAAAAGAATTTGGGTTAATTTTTTTAATTCAACATTTTCTATCAATATCATCAGTTAAATAAATAAGTGAGTCTAATAATTATATCTAGTTTCTTTCTGTTTTCATGTCCACTCAACACTTTGTCTGTACTCTAGATGTTTTTGGAATTTGAACCTTTAACTTTGTTCTGGTTTTCATCTCTGATTATTCAGTGAAGTAAATCTTTGCATGAAACTGTAGTCCACTATCACCGCCTCAAGTTTTGAAAAGATCACATTATATGTCCTATCACTGATTCCTTTTCAGCAATATCATGTTAAAATTTGCTTTTTTTCAAACACATTTAGACACACTGGCATCACAGATCTATTTGGGGCAAATTTGGGACAATTCTTTGAAATAGGTTCTTTTAATCCCCTAAACTTGAGGGATTGCTGTTATACAATTTGCTGGTTTTCTTTAGATAGAAACCAATCTAACTGTATGATCTGGTTGAATTGTTTCTGGAAATTGCATTGAGTTGACATGTGTTGTGAATTGGAGCTTTATAAATAAACAATTTAATTAAATTATCTTTTATAAAAGCAAAAAAAAAAATGTTTCACATCTATGAATAAAAGTACCTTCCCTCCAAGGCTTCATTTTCACTTTCCATTTCATTTAAAGCAGATCTGAGCAGTAAAATATACAGAATTAAAAACCAGCTCCAAACACACACTAGAAATAAAGAAATGAAATAAGAAAGGTTTTTACCTCATCCTTTGATATTCCTCTTCTGCATAATTTATTCTGATTAAAATCAACAGTTCACAGTTATTAGTTAGATCCATCAGTGGTGTACATTAAACACATTGGCTGGCATTTAACCTTGAATATAGTATATATAGTTTTGTATAAAACAAGCAATATGCTGAATAAGGTTAAATAAAAAACACATATTACTAAAACTAAAGACATTAAATAACAGTTGAAACACTTTTATAACAATGAAATGATCTTCAGAAAAGAGTGCAATATTTCAAATTCAATTTAGAGTTCCTTTTTATATACATCTCAATAATGCAGGTAGAAAAATCTAAAGAAAATCCTCTGGAAGGGTTCTTCTTTGTTTAAATGTTTCATCTTTTACAGTATCTCTTTAATTGTAAGTTGATCCTTATGAGCAGTATCTTCACAGAGTGAAGTAAAAGAGCCAACAGAAACTGGCTGCTCACATCATCGGTTTAACCCACTTTCTGTTTTTCTTCACTCTTTCAATATTTTTCAGTATCAGACATAAATAATATGAACATTCTAACATTCAGAATCAGCTATTCCCTAAAGAGTATACATATTTGGTAATAAAATTAAAGTTGAAACATATCAGAGACTCCCAGCCTTAAAAATATACTTTTGTTTAATTAATCTCATAATCCTCACATTTAAAGCATGAATGGGCTTCTAGAAAGAATCTGAAAATAATTTACCTCCTCAAATTTCTTTTTTCAGAGCCCACTCATGGTATCTATAAACGCTGTGGTATGAGAAGGTATGCTAGGGTGAATTACTATGGTCTGAACTGAATAGTGTGTCATCTCGCACAGGCTTCTGTTTTAGTTCCAGTTGCGACCAAAATCCAGCCTGGGGGCCAATTAAGGCCCTTGGACTGATTTTGACAGCCCTCAAATGTTATGTTGAAATAATACAGGTTTAAGCAGCAAGCACAGACATTTGATGCAAGTGGACACTTTTTATTTTTCAATGACAATAAGAGTACTACGGACAAATCGAAAGATTTAGCTACGCTGACAATCTTTTCTTTCTTTTTTTCATTTCATGATAAATAGATCAAATAAAGTGCAATGAATTTTTTCCCAACAAATAAAAATGTCTCCTCCTGTGGAGGAGTTGTTTGTTGTTTATCCCTTCTGACCTGTGGGTCGCTGGATGTGTTAAATTAATCAACTTAGACGAACACCTGTTACACCTGTCAATTATGCCTCTAAACCATTTTGGAAATCTTTTATCAGGTTTATAATGAAACTTAAACTAAAATAAACTTGGCTATAGATTGGTCAGCAAGTTTAGTTATGTAGTTGGTTATTCTGCATCTATACTTTAAAAGTCGTAGGGTAAACGGCCGCTCCAACCGTTGCATTTCCGAATTCTCCCGAGTGGTGCACGACTTTACACAAGTGAATAAAATGAATGCAATCAGTCGATTATCAAGGGGGCGGGATTGTTGTGGCGGAAGGTTCGCAAGCAAGTTTGGTTGTGGCCGGTTTCTCGGAAGCCTCGTTGATAACCAGTTAGCAACTTAGTGCTAATAGGTTCCCAATGGGAAATTACATTGGGACCAAATAGCACTTAGCAACGACACTTCCAAGGAACACTGTGGACAGCGGAAACATGCAAGAGGAAGAGAGTTTAGTACCGGAGGGCGTGGATGAGTCTCCTCCGTCATACATTTTTTATTTACAGGAGGAAAGGAAGTTGGGGACGAAGTTGTTATGGAAGACGAAGTTCTTATGGAAGAGGACGCCAGGGCGGCAGAAGCTTGGTTTGGTGTAGAAGGCTTACAGCCGTACATGTTTGAGCCCTTGCCTCACAACGCTGACAGTTCTGTTAGCTCTACGCCTGCCGAAGACACAGATGTCTTTCCCCGTGAACACTGGGACGGAACTCAATGGGAAAGGAAATGATTCTAATTTCAACCGTTGTGTATATTAGCTGCAACATTTGAATCAAGGTGCTATGACTGTGTAGCAGGATGAAGCCTGCTTCAGGATTGAAGACACCTGGCACCTAATCACCTGAGTGGGTGGGAGCATAAAGGCAGACTCCCTAGCCTTCTCTCTTCATGCCTGTATTTGGTCACAATTCAGTTGAATGTCTTCTTGGTTAATTTGCAGTGGTCAAACTCAAAAGCTGAAATAGTAAGTAATGTTTCTCTTTCTGTAAAAATCTCAATTTGAGTTGGCTAATTCAAGTTGTTTAAATACAGAAGCTGCCTGAAGCCTCCTGACTATACTGGGATGTGGCAGTAATTTACCCTCCCAATGCTACTTGGCAACATAAAAAGGGTATGTACCTGTATTGTTCTGCACCCATGCAGTTCACCATCACAAAATAACAATTATTTGTACATAGCTTGTATTGACAAGTGGATCCTCCTGCTGTGGGGCCGGAAGAGGCTCTCTGGTTGAGGTGGAGTCATCCAGCTCTGGTCTGAAGCTGCTGACGCTCGCTGGAAGCCCTGCTGCTTTGTTTTTGCTTTGTATTTGCTTTGTTTTGCCTCCAGCTTGGCTGGGTGTGACTGCTGTGGGTTTTTTTTAGACCATTTGATCAAACTGCTGATTTTAATAACTGGCTTTATCAGAGGGTAACCTCATTTTAGCACCCATGTGTAAATTGTAGTTTCTTTCTTTCTGTTTCGTATTTGCTTTGTTCAACCCCACCCTTTTGTTTCCAGGCTGGGAGCTGAAGGCAGTGGGGGGGGCATCCAGAGGGACTGGACCAGTGTGCTGTGCGAGTGACCGGTGTTGGGGTTTCTTCACGGATTGAGTGTTTATTCACAAGTGCTTGGGGTGATTTATTTTGATTTATTAATTTGTTTATGCCCAGTTTCCACATTTGGACTGCCCTCCCCCTTGCTGGTAGGCCCCAGCACTGCACTCCCTTTCCTATCGTGCTCCTTGAATTTTACTGGTTGTTTTTAAAGAGAGAAAATAATAAAATTATTTTTTTGCATTAAAAGAAGTCTTGTTCCCCTTGGGTACAAACCAATCTATTTCCTTGGGCGCAATTCCCAAGGTGGCGCTGTGACACCCGCTGGCTACCCTGCTTTGAAGGGCAGAGTAGCAGCTTCACCCTCTCGTGCTGCCACAACTGAAAAAAATTGATTGACAGATGACCTTTGATATATGATTGGCCGAATTTAGGTGTCCAGACTGACGTCTAACTAACTGGCGTACATAAGATGACGGGAAAAAAGATCAAACAGATTTTAAGACAGGATTTGTAAAAAGAAAACAAATTTCCTAAATTTCTAATAAAGAGTACATTTATATACACGTTTAAGCCAGAATGATTTGACATTTAAATATGATTTCGCTACGACTTTAAGGTTTAAAAATATAAAGATTTTTATTTCCTGCATTTGATAATTGTGGTTTTTATATCATGTTTATATGTGCATACCTTGAGCTGAGTAAACTCTGTTTTTCATCCCCTTCTTCTGGAGAAAATCTGTGGAATAAATTTTCGTAAAACGTTACTGGTTGGATTTTTCTCTTTCCCAATGTGCCATTTTCAAAAAAAAAAAAAAAAAAAAAAGGATGATATTGATGAATATCATAACAGGTAATATTAGATTTAATATGTAATGTAATAGGAAACATGATTTGTGTATTTCATATTTTTTGGAGGGTAGGTGGAAGAATAAACATTACATATTTACATGAATGTTTTTTTTTTTGGCAGATTGAAGCATAAAAAGGGCCACCTAAAGGTAAACTTTCATTTAGTGTAAATAACAACATACTAAAATAGCTTGTTATTTATAAAACTTTCCTGTTTTTGATAGTTGGTGCAGAAAATTTATTCTGCAAAAAAGTTTCCAATGCTGGACCCAACTTTAAAGAACCAAACTTTTACATCTCATATTTCTAGCCCTAAAATTCTGTATGAAGATCTTTGGACTGGAGCAACCAACTTCCATTCAAAGAAAATCCAAGGAGGAATAGACTCAATATTCCTTCTTGTTTTTCCCTTTAACTAAACTAATCATGGATTATCTCTGTTTCCTTCTTGGTAAAGGACTTAACTGTTAGACACAATAAACACTCTATCACATAGCTGATGGCATATTTCTAGTTTGCCCCTTTGTAGATGGTTGCAGGTGGGTCAACAATTGTGCTAAAAGAGAGGGGTTTGTCTCTGTCGTAACAGATGCAGACAACTCTTTGGGACACATCTTCTCTATAACTGTTCCTACTCTTTAAATAGTTCAAAAAAATGTATGCTGCCTGACAGTCAGTGTTTTTTTCTATTACAGAATCTATGCATTTTTAATTGTATTTCTACATGAACAGTTGTAAAAATGAAGATAAGCTGAAATATAAATGATTTAAAAACGTTTTTATGTTCTAAGTAAGTCCATTGCAGCTCCTTGTACTTTGATGAACGATCTCATCCAGAGCTGGATGCCATTGCTACAAAGGTATGATATTAAAAAAGTACGTTTTGTGAAATCAGAACCCTATTAAATGAAATCATGTAAGTTGTATGACATAATATTAAACCTTTAATAAGAGTGATAAACACACAATTGTTTTTTTCATATATTAAAGTAATGTTAACTGACTAATCCTGAGATGTTTGTGCCACTATTTAAAGTCACTTCATTTTAAAGAGGAATACATGCATGAAAATGCCCATTCTTGGTCCACTTTAGCCTCAAAAACAGATCTTGTTTATTTTAGCAAAAGGTTAAAAAATAAATAAACAGAAAAATGCTTACCTATTAGCTTCATTCCGTTCAAACTGTTTAAGCCTTACAGAAAAAGCAGATGAATGATATTTGATTACATGTTTATTGTGAATCTGGATAATACATTTTAAAGATGAGAGGCAGATTGGTGCAGCGTCTGCCGTGAAGCGGGCGCTGTACCGGTCCGTCGTGGTGTAGAGAGAGCTGAGTCAAAAAGCGAAGCTCTCGATTTACCGGTTGATCTACGTTCCTACCCTCATCTATGGTCATGAACTCTGGGTCATGACCGAAAGAACGAGATCGCGGACACAAGCGGCCGAAATGGGTTTCCTCCGTAGGTTGGCTGGGCTCTCCCTTAGAGATAGTGTGAGAAGCTCGGTCATCCGGGAGGGACTCGGAGTAGAGCCGCTGCTCCTCCACGTCGAGAGGAGCCAGTTGAGGTGGCTCGGGCATCTGGTTAGGATGCCTCCTGGACGCCTCCCTGGTGAGGTTTTCGGGCACGTACCACCAGGGGGAGGCCCCGGGGAAGACCCAGGACACGCTGGAGAGACTATGTTTCTCGGCTGGCTTGGGAACGCCTTGGGGTTCCTCCTGAAGAGCTGGAAGAAGTTGCTGGGGAGAGGAAAGTCTGGGCCTGCCTTCTTAAGCTGCTGCCCCCGCGACCTGACCACAGATAAGCGGAGGAGGATGGATGGATGGATGGATGGATGGATGGATGGATGGATGGATGGATGGATGGATGGATGGATGGAATAAAATTTTTACGTTATTTGTAAAACTTATTTTTTTTATTTTCCATTTACATTTATTTATGCATTAATCACAAAAGCAACTTATATGCAACTTTTATGCTTATTAAGTTTCAACAAAGTTAAAAAACTGCGAAACCCGATACTGGCCCATGCCTCTAAAAACGGAGTCGTTAGGGTCATTGCTGGCCTGGCTGACCAGGTGAGATGACCACGACTCCCATAAGTAAGGAATGGACCTGCTTTTGTTGGTTCAAGTTGCATGTTTTCTAAACCATAAACAAGCTTTTATTTGTGCGACTCTATAAGCCTGGAACTGAAAGTTCAAAGCAACGAGCAGTGGGCTGCCACTGTGTGGCGCCCGGGAAGCGTGTGTTGGTTAAGAATCTTGCTCAGGGAACCAGAGTGGCTGTCAATGGGAGTGGGACTTAAACTCTAAACCTCTGTGATCCAAGCGCAATGCCCGAACTACTAGGCCGCTGTTCTGTCAGATAAGCATACCTGGTCAGACCAGCATACCCATAGTCAATACCTGTTTATCCCTTTAGTTTTGTACGAAAAATGGACTTCAAACTACCTTAACGGATAAAACAAAAAAACAATTTAATTACTTATTTTTTTGTGTTTTTTGAAGCATCTGGCGATCTAACCTTAAATTTTCTTTGGACATGACTGAAGAGATACACGCCCGTTGAGGAAGTTTAAAGTCTATTTTTTGTACAAGTGTACAGGGATAAACGATGTCCGCCACTCTCCTTGGTAAACACCATATGAAACTCTCCTACTTTCAAACCATTAATGGAGAACTGAGAGGTTTATTTGAACTAACATTTTTCACACACAAAATAATATATATATATATATATATATATATATATATATATATATATATATATATATATATATATATATATATCAAAATAAATAGCATAATGTACTTACCTTTTCACTAAGAGTTTCACTTTTTCATCTTTGTCTTTCAGATAGGACCTGTGAGGTAACAAACATCATAGTAACATACACTGAATCACACTGAATTAATGCATAACATGCAGATTCAGTAGTCAGTAACCTCAGAAACAGATCACCAGGATTAGTCCTGCTTAATTTGTCACTGTTTGGATGGAGTGAAAATTAAATATTTTAAATATTAATACATTTTAAGTAAGATACTTACATGAGCTTGACATGTTTCTGAAAGTCTTCCATCCTTTGTATTCTGAACAAAAATCCAAAATGTAAGTTTAGTCTAAATTGCATCTTAGAGCTGTTTTGATCAAATATAATTTTTTGCTCTCTCTATTGATATTAAAGAAAAAAAACAACATCAGTACAGTAGATGGAGATTACCTTTGTTGGAGTGAAATCGAATCTGATGGATCTCTCCTGTAAAATAAAATAAAATACATTTTTATTTCGAGATTCTGTATCAGCTGAAGCCATTTTAATTATCAAGCTATTTTTGATGAATGAATATCGATATTCTAAACCGTTATGAAATTCACTTTGTATATTTCAAAAAAATATATAAAACATTTTACATTTTTTTTTACTTTTATATTTATGATTTTTTTTTGTATTTTTGTAACTTAGGGTTTGTACATCTGTTGCCAAAATATTATTATGAAAGTATCCTCACAGTCTTAATGAAAAAAATAGGATACACGTAAGAATTTTCTAAAGGAATTTTATGTGTTTCTAATCAAGCCCTGTATGAAATAATTTTTTCAGGTATAATAATCGAATGCTAAATGACAGGGTTTGATTTGCTGTAGACTTATTGTAACTAATGGAAAAAAACTAATTAAGATATTAACCTGTAATTTAACTCTATAATGTGCTTCATTTGGTGATGAAGTTACAGAAACAAATTTACATTTTAATATCTTGAATATTGAACAGGCTGTTTTACCAATCATACTATATGGTATAGTGAGAAAAATAAGTGACTGAACACTCTGCAGTGTTATAAGTTCTCCCACTCATAAATCCTGGAGGGGTCTGACATTTTCATTTTAGGCGTATGTCCACTGTGAGAGACATAATCCAATAAAAAATAAAAATTACAATGAATGATTTTTTAATAATTCATTTTCATGTTACTGCTACAACGAATCAAATTTCCCACTGAGCCTGAACTAACTAGTCTGTCTTCCCCTCGCCTTCCATTTCCGGCTGAGCAGAGTTCAGGGAAACTCTGCACCGAGCTTAACATCTTTAATAAAATCCGTCAAACTTTTCATCCGTGTCTCTCTGTTTGGTTTCACTGAATGTGGGTCCGAGCCTTAGATAAAATCATGACAGTCTTCTCCATCCACCACGTCAAAATATGGAGCCAAGCTATTTTTTGCTCCGCTCCAGTCTTTTGGAAGCTGATCAGGTCAAGATCCGCAACTGCAATCGCACCAAACAGGAAAAGAACTTTGAGAAGATTTGTCAAAGTAAAATGGGGTAATACCTGCTTAGGAACTCTAAATTACAGCATAATTCCTCTATATTCCCAAAAACCGTTTCATTTAATTATTGGATGCAACTATTAGTACTTCAAGATACCAGGAAGCAGATTGCTCATCTCGATCAAAATACTTATTTTTTACTGACAGGCTTAAAAGTTTCAGCAAATCCACTCTAAACAACTTCCAAGAGCGGATCTCACAACTTCAAAAGGAAATTCTTAACGCAGGCATGGATGAAGAGATACAGATTTTGGAAGTAGAGAACAAACCAATTTTGTATGATCCTAGTTATCCCGGTTACAAAGACCCACAATGAAAAGAAAAGGTTTGGGTAGAAACTGCATGCAACCTCATGTTTTGCTCCAATGAATTAACAAATCATAATGAAACGCATGATCTCCTCGAGCTCCAAGGAATTCAGAGTGGAGCAAGACAGGATGCGCAGCAGATTCTGTAGGCGTTTCTGGAGTGGAACAGATATGGAGGATGTGGAATTTCGGGGAGAAGGTGGTAAAATACTTATTTTCCTCACTGTACATTGTACTGAAAATATGGAGCTTCCCTGAAAAGAGTTAGGATATATTGTAATGTGAAACATTTTTACTTCTAAAAACTCTAAACAGTTTGTGAAAACAAAACATTGCAGATATAATTTTAGTCTTATGCTGATTTTGCCAACAATACCTTTGCTGTTTTCCATCACATTCGAAAGTAGATCTGTGATGTAAAAAAAACAACGGCATGAAAATGACTCAAAATCATTTCATAAATCAGACTGTAAGAATAAACAATCATCACAGTCTGGTCTATTGATTTAATTTGTTGAACTTACAATGAAAACCCAATAACTGTTGCTGTTAATCTAAAATTTAACACTAAAACAAGACATACCTGAGGTGATCATTTTCTTCCTGCTGGATTTGGATAATCTGTCCAACACTTTTGATGTAGAAAAAAATTTTTTTGTTAGATATTAAACAGTTTATCTATATTGCTGAGAAAATAAAGGTTTTCATACATTTTGATCATGTTTACAGATGTTGTTTTGTGAATCACTTTAGTTCTTTATCAGCTGCTAACATCGCAGTTCACCACAACAGATAATCTTCTTGCACCCTTCCCCATCTTCTTCTTCTGTCACTCTATATTATCGAATATTTTCCTTTATTACATCTGTTAACAATTTCTGTATTCTGCTTCCCAACACCTCCATATAAAACATGCACTGTATGTTTTTTATCCTCTCTCGCTCTCACAAATTCCCTAACCAATAAAGCCCTGTCTCCAAAACATTTTTCTAAATTATTTTACCCTATGTCTAGATTGTTTTTAAACCCTTTTTCCAGAACCTAACAATAAAAATCTGCCCTTAATTTGATGTTTAAGTAAATCTATCTGAAGAGATGCATGTTGAAAAAGGAAAGAGAATCTCAAAGCTTTTGATCAATGAGCTTAAACATACTGTACATAGAAATAAAATATATATAAAAAATGCCATTAGTTTACTGTATTTATTTAACATAAACAATGTAGTGATCTAACTGTGTTGAAGAGAAGATAGGTTTGCATATCACACTTCAATACATTATTTTCTATTTAAAGATCTGGCTGGGTTATTTTTTTTAGGTTATCAGACCTAAATCAAAGTTAGCCAGATTGAAAATTAGAAGGGTCATACCCAGACTGAATTTTAAAAAGTAATGGACACCGTCCTCATGGGATAACAGGTTTTTTTTACAATAGGAAGGCATCTAGTTGGAAAATAAACAATAGAAACTGTGCAAAGTAGACCTGAATTATTTGCATGCACTACTCTTATCTGCCTCATAAAGTACACATTCATCCATTAACCTAAATGTGGGTCTGTCTAAACCAAATTTAAGCCACTATTTTCTAGAAGTCTTTTTGACTGAATCCACTATTGCAGCTCTCCTTAGAAGTGCCTGTAGGTCCTACTGTCCCCTTCTATCCTCCAACCTTTCCATCTAAAGAAACAGTTCTGATAGATGTTTTTAAGGTTTATCATCAGAATTTTATTATTTAGATGTCAGATCACCTAATTGAAATTACCTTTGATTAAGTGACTTCAGATCCTCATTTTCTTGGTCCAGATTAGATCTGTAAATTCAAAGGAATAACAATACAAAAAAAAACAAAAAAAACAAATGATATCCTTTCAATGAAATAATGCAACACGTGGTGCTTTGCAAAAATTTTTTTGGACCAACCCAATGTATAAAATCTGATTATTAGTGGAGGTAATAACACATCAATAATGACAAATATGTAAATTAGCAGTCAATTTCAGGCAGTAAAAAAGAGAAAGTGTTACCCAATACTCCTTTATTTTTACCAATTTATAGTTTTACATCCTGTTGGTTGGTTGTTCTTTGCAAGTACTTATATCTATTTCATAGTCTTGTAGATATTAAATCACTCAGGGTCTTACCTTATCTTATGATGGTAATCAATTGCTCTGGTTGAAAGACACATAGAGACAAGTTAGTTTGGCTTAATTTTATTGCTTGGCTTCAGTTTATTTGTGGGTTGTTTTTTTGCATCAATGCTCAAACGAGGGATTGTCCCAAAACAGCATTAAACGACCAGCAGATATACAGAAGAATTTAAATGACTTCATTCTTTTGGCAGGGTGGTATTTAGTAGTCCAGCCTCAAATATGCAATTTTCCTGTGAAATAATCTTTTTATCTGTAGGGGTTTACACAGTATTGCTCCATCCTGTTTAGGAGTGTCTGTATGCATTTTCTACTTTCTTTAAAAATTCTTAGCTTGATGTTTATGCGTAAGTAGGAAATTGAACGCACTCCCGGTGTTAAAGGTAAAATAGAAAAGAGTGCGTCTAGAGTGGTTTTATCGTGTTTGATTGTAGATTATCCTTTGTTTTTTCTATATGGCTGGTCTAAATTGCACTAAAAATGCTCCAAGTAATTAAATCGAGAGAATTTTAAGGTATGCTGGGTGCTTGTAGCGATCCCCAGCTGCCACCAGCTCTGCATTCAATCAAAGATCATTTAGCAGCGGTGATTAAACCAGGGAGCATTAATAAAACCTCTATGACTGATTGCTTCGTATTTGTCTTTATTAAAGGATAAAAACTGCATCACAAAGGTGAATAAATATTGACATGCTATGAAAAAATGTCTTCTTCCTGACTGAAGTGACGTCAGGGCATCCCTTAGTAAATTCCTCATTTGTGACCGAATGAGGAATTTTACGTCGTCTGCTATCTTAGTGAATTATTTTATGCTATAAACAACAAAATGCTGCACATTTTTACATTTGTGATGTATTTAATTTTGTAGATACTATCAAATTAGAAACTATAAGTATGTGTTTCTATTTGAACATTAAGACACTGGGAGAATGTTTCACTCTCTGACTGCAAAGGCAGAGGAACAACAAAGAACCTTGGGACTCAAACAATGAACATGCCAATGTTTCTTTGCCTAGCTTTAGAATTAAAGCTTCACACTCTCTTGTACATAATGCCTAAAAGTTGGGAAAGTTATTTGATTAAATAACATGTTTGCTACCAGGGGGTTGAATATAAAATAATTGCATAACAAGTAACAGTGACATCCATTATTTCTTTTATAAACATTTCTAAGCTGTGAGACATTCCTGTGCACATGCGGGTTGCATTGTGGTTGTGAACAATTCAGACAGAAACTTGAAGCACATTAAAAACAAAACAAATAAACAAACAAACAAAAATAATGTATAAATATAAATAATGTATTTTAAATGCAGCACCTGCAAGCATACATTACCTGTTATTTTGGTTTTGGCTCCCATTCCAGGCACAGGTAAAAAACCTAATCAGCCATCTTAATATTCTGCTGAAGCATGATGGTCTGAAAAAATAGTTCAAAGAAATACAATTATTTTTTTTTTTTTCAAATTCTAAGAAAGTCTTAGAGTTATTCTTTTTTAACACTGCTGATGACAATACATATGGGGCAACTTAATCTGTTACAGGTCTATACTTCTGAGGATTTTTTTTTTTTTTTTTTTTTATGAAAATGACTACTTTAAGCCCAATTTTTTTATTTCAGTTTGAATGATTTAGCATTTGGTGGTTTTTGTATTTGAAAAACAAAATCTGAAATAATCTTAGGTAATATATAGACTACCAGTTAAATATTTGCTGCTACTTCTGTGGGTGACCGTGCCTCAGTGGAATTAACTGTCATCTTGCAATTGGAGGGTTGTAGGCTCTATTTGCACATCGATGAGCGTTTAGTGGAAAGGCTCTTTATCCTAAACGTTGTTTGTGAGTGTGATAGAAAGAGTGTGGCTCTGTTATGCCATATTATAAAAACAGCATTTTATTTCAGTGCACTTAACATTGTTATGAAATGAAAATTTGTCCAATCCATACCTTACTTTGACTGGAAGTTTTTATTAATCATAAAACTATCTCTTCATAGCTCTTAGTTCTTACCTTGATCTTTGTTGCTTTAACTCTTCTTCCAGAGCAGATCTTTTAAGTAAAATCCACAATGTTTACAAAGATTCAATTAACTAAAACCCTGGTTCAAAATCTGTCACACACAATTTTAGAAATATAATATGAAAAAAACAAACCTTATCAATTCATGCTGTTGTCGTTGAAGGGCTATTATCTGTTTAAAACTTTTGAAAAATAGAACGAAAAGTTAGCTCAGTGGGTTAAGAACCACACACACACAGCCATATATTAGACTTAGACAGATTTATTTGTTTTGTTTACAGCTGTGTAAAACAAAAAGAAATTTCATTTGGAACAGCTCTCTGGACAATTTCATATATATATATATATATATATATATATATATATATATATATATATATATATATATATATCCATGCCCTAACCACTAAACCCTCATATTAAACCCACTGACATTAAGCCAAAGTCTGGTTCAGAGCCTGTGGCTCTGTTCGAAAACCTGGGCCACATCCTCCAAGGACCCGGTCTACCTAGACTGGATCCTTCTAAGTCCTCGAAAATAAGGAGACCGGAAGTGTTTTGGCTGTGAATTCGAACAGGTCTATCCTTCGGCGGGTTTTACCGCCTTAAGCTCTGTTGCTTAGCAACCGTGAAAGTTGAAACATAAAACATGAAAAGAATGAATACCAAGGTTTTCAAAACTGTTTGTTTATTTATTTCTTTTTTATTGTAACGTGAACAAAGACTACATTAACAAGAATCCAGAGTGGAATAAATGTTCCAACCACCGGGAGCAGGAACAAATAAAACCAAATGTAATGATAGAAACTTTAGTCAGTTAAATAACACGCTGCTGTCATTTTGCACATCTCTGATGTTGCTGCTATTTGCTACGGAGCCCCTCTGATGACATGGTCAAAAAAAGTTTTGAATTGTGGCCACGATGTAGTATTTCGTGGCCATACAATAAGTTTAACTTGAGCACAAAATACTTATTAATAATATTAATATCATTCATGGACAACTGGGTAAGCAAATCGAGCGCGTCGTAGACCTTAGAGAAGGCGCGCTCCATTTGCTTACCCAGTTGTCCAGGAATGATATTAATGAAGTGATATTAATCTGATGACATGGTCAAAAAAAAAAGCCACGAAGTAGTGTTTCGTGCGCACGTTATACTTATTGCATGGCCACGAAGTAGTATTTCGTGCGCACGAAATACTACTTCGTGGCCACAACTAAAAAATTTTTTTGACCATGTCATCAGAGGGGCTCCGTAATTTTCAAATATCCATTACTGTAAAAATGTCCATAGCTGCATATTGGTTATTTATTCTCCAGTTTTATATTGTTAAAGCACTTTACAGAATTGTATTTTTTTCTAACTCTTCCCTATTATATTATTCTTATACATTTTTCTAAGGTCCACATTTGTGTGACCATTTTCAGTAATCTTTCTGCTGCTGTAAATTTGCCCATTGTGGGACAATAAAGGGATTTTCTATTCTATTCTATAAAAGGGGTAGAAAGATAAAAGTAAATCTAAACAATGTATGTATAAAAAATATATCTGCAAAATCTCTAATATTCAACAACAAAAAATACTTGGTTAAACATATTGTGCAAAACAGCAATAAAAAGATAAAAACTCCTATCAGATTTATAGTCCCCACACTGCAGATATATTAGAATCTGTCCTTAAATTACAGTCAAACCCATTTAACCAGTAACAGATAGAAACCTTTAGATAAATCAAACATTACCGCCACATATCTGACACAATAACCATTAAAACAACAATTTTCATTAATCTCAGACGAAACTATTCACTGACTTGTATTATATTAAACTGAACTTCCAATTTTCACCACTGTTCAGCGCCAAGTAACCTTTCCTCTGATCACGGAACAGCCGGCTTGCTTGGTCTCGCAATGAATCCTGGGATATCCAAGGATACCAAGGATACATCGGACTCATCCTTCAAATCGGGCAAAAAGAAGGACGCATTTTAAGGCCGCATAACGAGGACTCTTGGAATCCGACCAGACCTCGGCGCCGTGCTATGACGTAATCGCCCTTCGAATCTGGCCTTCTAAGGACGCGTCCTAGGTTTTTCGAACAGAGCATGTATTTAAAATGTGTAAGCAGGGTCTGTGTCTCTGCTTTAACACACTTGAGTCAAATAAACAGTTATTTAGAAGGAGATCTTGACTGCACGCTGAAAAGGCCAGTCAACCAGGACCTCAAGGTTAAGGTTATGCAGCAGCTTATGCAAAGGACTAAGCTTATATAAAAACAAAATGGGGAACTCATTCTTAAGAACTAAGAGGAACATTTGTATAATACCTTTCTTTAACTGTAGCCAGATTCTCAGTTTCTTGATCCAAAAATGATCTGTTAAGTTAGAAATACATAATTACAACTGAATTAATACAGAATATACCATCTAGATTATACTTTCTAAAATTTACTACAGGTAATTTATTTACATTCATTCTCTTCAAAGAATATTCAATTTTAATTTAAAAAAAAATTAATAACAACCTTAAATGTTGATGATGCTGTTGTAGTAATTCGTGAATCTCTCTGAGCCTTTATTAAAACAAAAAAATATAATTTAAATTAATACTTTCATACAACACTCAATAAAGCAACCAGGTATCTAGAGCTCATATTTTTGAATTCCATCACATTCCAAAACTTACAGTAATGATAAAAAAATGAAACTGATAAAGCAGATTACGCTAATATTGATTATATGCAGTAACTACTGAAACTTTACAAATTCAATTTTGAAAACCAATCATATTTTCTTTGGAATATAATCAGAAATTGTTTTAGAGATTTTAAATGTGATCATATCTGGAATGAGATTTAATTTTAAAAAGAACAAAATGAAATATGTGAAATAAACGTTTTGAATGTTACCTTCTTTTAGATGCCCCCAGAGTATCCCTGCTGGGCGAATTTCTGTGGAAAACACATGCATGTAACTTTGGATGAGGAGAACATCAAATTATATCATTAATAAAATACAAATTATAGCATGAGACCGACAGGAAAATGTGTTCTAGGGATTATGAGTACTGTTTCAGTTAATATAAATAAATATTAATGAAAATACAATAAGGTAGAAGAGATAATGGCATATATAACCACCTGAAATTGCAAATAGCAGCTTTCTTAAATTTGAAATATTACTAATTGGAAAAAAAAAAGTTGTTCTGATAAAAGTTTTACAACAAATCTCTTAAAAATCATAGGCCTGGTTCAATAGAGGACAAACTGACAAGTAAAAATATATACAAAATTGAATACATTCTCAATAATTAAAGAGAAAATTAAATTGACAAAAAAATAAATAAATAAAAGTGCAATTAGTTATTTCTCATTCATGCAATCACTTAAAAAATATAATTTGAGGGTTGAGAATTTTTGTATTTTTCAAATGTTAAGCGAAGACAGAAGAGTAGATCTATAAAACAATAAGGAGACTCTGAATGGTTTGGATAGCAGACTATGCTGAGTATACACAGACATATGCAAAAACAAGCAATCAGTGCAGTTATTAAATATAAACTTGTATTTTTTGTAAATACATGTCCATAAAGGGAAAACCATGTCACCAAAAGATACACTGAGCCACGCACCTGAGCACAGAGGGAGCTTACTTGTTTAGCATTTGTTTGTGCTCTGCATATATTCTCCAGCGGCCACCTGGTTTGTAATCTGGCTTAGCTGCAGTTGAGCCAGGTGCTTAACACATTGTGATCAGAGCTTCAGTTTAAAAGTGTTTAGTTTGCTTTGTTTCTCTGATAAATTGGATGAGTACTGCCTGTATAAAAAAAGCTGTAACCATACAGTGACATTAAAAGACTTTGGTTATAATTTGTTCATCATCTATCGTTGTGCTCCTTGATGATTATTCAGTAAAATCAGTTTTGGCTGATATTTCTTTTGGATTTATTGGAATAATACTAAACTCTGTTTTAAAATCTTGAAATCCCAATTCTGAAAGTATTAATAGAATAGATACTAAATACTGCAACAGCTCTGTTAAGCAGATGGTAAACTTATTGAAACAGAGAGTGGCTGCATGTCAGCTCTTTGCTTTTCCTCATACAGTAGGAGCACAACCTGTTGGACAAACGCTGCAGAGCCTACAGCCCTGAAAAACTTGGTTGTTAATTTTTTTTTTCCTCCATATGTTTTACAACTATTGTGCAAAATTACAGTTACATTGATGCAAATATATAGAAAAGCCACTACATGTTACAGATGATTTGCCTTTCCATTCAGACAAAGCACATGATACTAGTATTATCGGAGCAATACAAAGGTATGGAGGGGTGGTATACAAATAAGTATTAGTGCCGTTTAATTTTAAAAGATAATAAAACAGGCATTTTCTTTTATTTCTTACAACAACAATGCCAGTTTTATTGAAAACTTTGTGATATGTCCTCTATATTTTGTGCTTAAAATATATCTTGCTGTCAGGCACTAACAGAGTTTTATTAAATAAAAAAATGGAAGAACCAAAACAGGCTGAAGAAATTACAGAGCAGAATGGTTGGTTTTCATTTACTGCTTTTTAACAAAAGAATGAAAATAAAACAGGTAAACTTTTTTACCTTGTCCTTTGGGTGGATCCATCCATCTCATTTACCCTGTTTTAAAAGTAAAGAAGAATAAGATTTTCCTCAGATAAAAAAAAATATATATATATCATAATAGCAATATGACAAGATTTATTGTTTACTTTTTTAATATATAATAATAAGTGCATTTTCAATACTGAAAAAAAGGAGAGGGATAAAATATATATCTATCAATCTATATATATATATATATTGTTCTCAATTTTCCACACTAGCCCAGGTTCCTTCTCCCCAAGCCATTGACTTTCCAGTTCACCAGATCAAGTTTAGGCATATTTAGATAAGGTTTCCCGGTTTTCCTGCAGACCAGTCCCCTTTTCAGCTGTCACTCCTTTTCCCCCTGAAAGTGTTGGGCCCCAGGTGGGATAACCTTGCATCTCTTATGTAAGGTTTTGTTTTTTATTACTTAGAACAAAATACCTAATCTGCAAGAATTTTGAGTTACGTCTGGTTTTGATGTGAGGGGAAACCATTTTTTTTTATTTATAAACAGCTATAAGTCTAATAATTCTGTTTACTTTAAAATGCAGGGCTGCAGGATGGTGCAGATTGTACCACTGTTGCCTTGCAGCAAGAAGGTTCCAGGCCTAGTGTCTTTCTGCATAGAGTTTGCATGTTTTCCCCTTGCATGGTTACTCTGGCTTCCTCCCACAGTCCAAAAGCATGACTTTTAGGTAAATTGGCATCTCTAAATTGTCTTTAGGTGTGTGTGCATGGTTGTATAAGTTTGTCCGTCTCTGTGTTGCCCTGTGATAGACTAGAGACCTGCCCAGGGTGTACCCTGGGCTTTCTGCATGGAGTTTGCATGTTCTCCCTGAGCATGTGTGGGTTCTCTCCAGGTACTCCAGCTTCCTCCAACATTCCAAAAACATGACTGTTAGGTTAATTGGCTTCTCTAAATTCTCCTTAGGTGGGAGTTTGTGCATGAATGGCTGTTTGTCCTGTTTGTCTCTGTGTTGCACTGCGATAGACTGTTGACCTTTCCAGGGTGTACCCCGCCTTTTGCAAGTTAGACAGCTGGAGATAAGCACTGCTCCCGCCCGTGACTCTGCTTGGATAAGCATGACAGAAATTGAATGGATGGATGATTAAATCCTGGAAAACTAAAAAGTATTTCAAGCAAAAATAATTATCTAGCAAGAAAATCCCAAACAACAAATCAGGGTTTAGGGCGTGAGCAGTTGCTGCGCAGTTTTGTGTGCAGGAACGCATGTCCTCTGCACACAATGTTAAAGTGGTTGTGGGGTTATCAAATAGGTGATTTGAATGTATGTTGTCAGGCATGACTATAGGAATGGCTTGGTGTTAATGACATCTAAACACACTGCCAAAAATGTTTTTGAGTGGGAGACTTAAAAAATATTTTTTTCAAAGATAGCTCATTAAGTCCAAACTATTAGATTGTACATTTAATTTAGCAATTTTGTTTCTCGTCAAATTACCGTTTTATGAGTCCTTTGATATCATTTTCTTCATTTTCTAAAGCGGCTCTGTGGAGTAAAATACACAACATGTAAAACAGATGATACTGAACTTAGGTAAGACCGAGCAAACCTTATTTGAGTCAATTTAAGTAATGTATAAGACGGATGCCTTCTGTTAAGTTTACTATAGAGTATTTGCATCATATTGTTTGCGTGAGTGTTCCCCCCACTTTATATTTCTGAGTCTGCAGGGAATTTAAAATGAGTTACATATTGGTTCTGTCCACCTCAACGCATTTATCTATAAGTTATCAAAACCCTGCACTAAAAGAAAACCTTGAAATATTCATGAGACATGGAGTCATCTCACTGTATCTATTATCAAAAAAAATAACCTAGACCTGTAGTCTTTATGTTCCAAAAGAGTACAAAAAATATTATGTTTGATTTAGAAACAGACCCCTTTCTCTTAACCCTATAGACCATATAACATACACAACTACGAACAGTATACCCTTTCAATGGGGCTACAATCTGTCCAGGACTGAGTGTGATTCATTGGAACATGGTTTGTTAAAACTCTGGGTGCCTGAATTATCCACTAGAAGGACCAACTTCTACTTTGAGATTAAAAGATATGTCTTCTCAGACTTGGTCTGAATCCAATTTTTTAAAAATGGTGGAAAATACATTTTTCTGTTGTCAGGCTCCAGGTGTTTGCATCATTAAAGCTTGACTGCAAATGCGCTCTTTCAACTTTGGATCACATGACCTAATCTGGTCTTTTTCCTTTTTTTGCTCACTGCCTTACCCTGCCTGAGAGAAACAAACTGGGTTAGAGAAAGGAAACTACTGACATTAATTTAGGCATTGAAGACTGAAAACGGATAATAATATTCTTATTGTTGTAAGACCTGATTATAAAAAACATTTAATACATAGAGCCATGCAAGAGGTTAATGTCAATGCAGTAGGAAAAAAGATAAGTCTCACAATGGTAGTGCTGTTAGCCATTTGTTAATAAGGAAGTTAAAACATCCACCGTTGCAATGAGTGCAGTAAACCTGACCAAAGATTGATAACTCATAAAACACTAACCTTTGTACCATAACTTGACTAACATTTTATACCTCTTCTCTCAGTCATTTCTGGAATGTCTTGCTTGTCGATTTTACGTGCACTGTATTTTCTTTTTAGTTCTGTGTAAATTAATTTAAAAAAAGGTTTTACCTTATCTGCTTATGCTGTTCTCGTTGATTGTCTCCGATCTCTTCAATTCTTCATGAAAGCATGAGATAAATGTAAGTTAGTCTAATGTAAATCAGAACATTAATTCATGATTAAACTTGAGTTTAATCAATAAAGGATATTCTATTCTGTTCTATTCTGCTTTCTATTTTATTATATTCTGCAAAAATACTGCAGTAAATATAATGCATTCTGTATCATAAACATAATTCAAAAAATGTATTGAAAAGGTCTGGAATTAGGTTGGAAATTTAGCTCTTTTCTTGTTACCTAGGTAAAGGAAGGTAAAGTAATAATGCTAAATGATAAAATGCTGATAATATTTCTGTTTTATACCTAAAGCCTTTTACAATACCTTTTGGAGAGGGATTTCAGTTTTTCTTCTCCTTCATTCAATGCATTGCTGTGTACAAAAAGAACAAAACATGAAAAAATATCCCCATATATTTCCCTGCTGAATTTGCTTAAAAAAACAAAACATGTTATTGTTTTGCATATATGGAATTTTAAATTTTTATTTATTTAACTTTGATGGATTTTGAATAGGCTCGACACTTTTTTAATAACAACATCAAATATTTACCTTATTTCAACATGAGATTGAGGATAAGAGCCTTCCATTTTTTCCAACTCCTAAAATTGACAGATTATTAATTTTGATACCACCCATTAAATTATTTTAAAATAGCAGTTATGGAATCAGTACTGAATTGTTGGATATAAAATACACATAGCTCCTGTATTTAATATTCCACCCACATAGAGATAAAACACTAGTTCATAAAAGGACACCAGGCTGCTTATTACCGACAGTCTCTTGGCATTCATCCAGCTGTATTTATTCTAAAAAAAAAGTCCCATGAAGTAAAATATGGCACTCTTAAATAAACAACTTTTAAAAAACAATGACGTTACTTTTCAGGATTCAGTAATAAGCACACATTTTTTTGGTTTTGGTTGTTGCCTTGTACTGATTTTTGCTTTAGATTCAATTGTAAAGCATAAGGTTAAAAGGATAATGTTTTTGCAATTAATATTACAGCTAGCTTTTAAATCTGGTGCATTTACCTGGAGCTGCGTACAGCCGTCTTACTTTCTGCTGCTTGTCTTGTTCAAAGTGAAACCATCTGGCATATTGCATTCATAATAGAGAAAAATTCCATTCATTCAAAGGCTGGACTTTTATCAGTCCTGCCCACTTATCCTACATATAAATATTTACCTAAACACAAGCCTCTCAGTACCTCATCCTTTGCTCAGTATACAACCAGCAGGACCTCTCCCTACAATGGAGGAATCTTATATCATAGCTATAGACTTTGGAACAGCATATAGTGGATATGCTTTTAGTTTAACATCCAGAGAGGAAAACATAGATCCCCATGTGAAATCTTGGGGTGAAGAAGTTGGATGAGAAACCCCAAAGACTCCTACCTGTATTCTGTTTGATGAGCAACAACAGTTCCTCAGCTTTGGATATGAAGCCAGAAAGACTTATCAAAGTAAATCATGCAGAGAATCCAGAGAAAACTTCTTCTTTGATTGCTTTAAGATGTCCCTCTATGACAAAGTGAGTAAAAAGTACTTTTCATCGTTTACATATTCAGAATTATTATTATTATGTTTTCTCTACAACTAAATATGTCTCACTTGCAATTTTATTTTCTTTTTTACTTAGAAATTCATGTTCATACTGCCAAGTGAAAGAATGTCTGATTAAAATACAGTGTTCTAACTCAAGTTATTAAAATTATTAATTTGCCTATTGAGAATTGTCTGCATTTTGCAAACATTTCAACCTCAAGCTCTGGAAAAGATTTAAATTACAGTATACTTCCAACTCTAGATAACTTAGATAGTTTTCATCTTGCCCGTGTTTTAAGTGTTTAACAAGACTGAACTAATATTATTGACAAATATCGACAGAAAATTACCAAAAACATGAAAATTAAAGCAGCCAGCGGGAAGGAAATGGAGGCAATAAAGGTTTTTACAGAAGCTCTAAGATTCCTGAAAGACGACGCTATGAAAACCATTGGAAAAAACACTGAAGGAGTGACATTGATTGCCAATGACTTTACCTGGGTTCTGACTGTTCCTGCCATCTGGGATCATTCAGCTAAACAGTTCATGAGAGAAGCTGCAGTCCAGGTAACATACTGACTGTTAGACACTATAATGGGGAGATTTCCTCATTATAGTAAATATATGTACTTTCTCATTGTTTGCAGGCAGGTATTGTGGCAGATGGAAATGGGAAAAATTTGGTAGTTGCTCTGGAACCAGAAGCAGCTTCAGTCTATTGTAAAAAACTACCAGCTGATGGCTTCATAGCAGAGAAGCAGGGAAAAAACAGATTCGACCTATTTCCTGGAACGAAGTACATCGTTGTTGATTGTGGAGGTATGGCACCTTTAAAAGAATATGAGGATAGTATAAGAATTGGATAGAGTGCTGGTTAAAAATTTTCCAAAGCACTTCCAATTATAAGTATTTACTCTCAAATAGTCCAAATTTATCTGGTTAAAGTGTTGGGGACATATGTTTACTTTCATTTAAAAATTATAACATTTACTTTTACCATTAAAATAGTATTTGCTCTACTTTATTCATATTTTATTCAGAATACTTTATTTATGTCTATCATACTGTTTTGGGGGGAGATTGAAATACTATCATTAAAATGTTATTATATGGGTAAATAAAAAAGAAAGCGGTTTTACTCACTCTTATTCCCTTACTCTGTTTCATATTATATGATTCACAGTAAAGGAATTATATGACACACAATTTGTGTTTTAAATTAGGTCTCAAACCACGGCATGTCATGTCATTTGATAAGCTATCATGCAAGAGTTCTAATGTTGTCACCAAACTGATCTGAAAAGAGGGAGCTAAAGTAAAGTGTTTGATATAATTTATCTGCTTCACCAGTTAGAGTTAGAAAATCAGTTAATTAAATTCAGTTCAGTCTGTCTATTTAGCAGCAACTCAAAACACATGTCATTTTAAGGCACTATACAGGGACAGTTCAAATAATTATGCAGACAAATTGATCAAGGAAGTCATTGACTTCCCCCTAAATTTCTCTGATCCATTCTTTGACTAATTTTATCTTCCATTTACTTGCTCTTTCAGGTTGCTTCTTTAGAAAATGTAACATCTCATTTCATACATATGCAGATGGCAGAAACTAAATCAAGTTGAGCACAATTATTATTTTTTCCACTATAACCAACATTTGACCGACAAACTGAGATAAAATCTGGAATAGTTTTATATTTTCTAGATATCAACAGGCATAAAACAAGTTTATTATTTTGAGTCACAATGAAAATCTTCTTCTTCCTCTCCTTCTCATCTAGGTAGTCTAAAAGTGTTTTCACATCAAACATGAACTTTGCTCCCAGAGTAAAAGATTTACACGTTAGCACTGTGAAGCACAGCGAGGCAAAGGTTGTTTATTCCAGCAAGGCTAAAACACACATTTTTGGTGATTGCAGGTTGGTGAGAATTCCCTGCCGAGTAGGCTATGCGACATTCACAGCAGCTGAACAATCTGAATTCTTGTTCACTTTCGTGTTGAGAAAACTAATCAGAGACTAGATGTGACAGGATGAAGGAGGCAGCAGAGATTTTTTCAACCAAAATGAAGACAGACTTTTAAGAAAGAACAATGAAGGACTTTTAAGACAAACAGTCCTTCGTTTACCATTTGAAGGACTGTTTGCCATCTTCCCATTTGCTTCAGTGCAGATAGCAGCCAATGACAGCCTTTTCCCACCTTTGCACTCTCTCTGCTTCTCGGATCTATCTCTGTACCCCTCTGATCTCCTGTTGGGGCTCCTTAGCTCCAGAGGGGGACAAGGTCAACTGCCTCATCCCAGTGCTGGTGCTCTTTCTGATTTTCCTGCTGCTCCTTTCTGAGCTTCTGATAGTGTCTCACCTTTTTTACAAGTTGGTACAGTTTGTAAAATCTTGTGTTAAACTATATTGGATATATAGTCACAAGATCCCTTTTTAAACTTAGACTTTTACCTGAACTAAAACTTATTTATCATTTGATGATTTTAAACATCTGATTCAGTGTTGCCTTAGCTACCAACTTGATTACTACTACTCTGTAGATTGGTGTTAAGGTCAGAACACATTGTACAAGATGTAGCACAGCAGAATTGTAATTACTACATCTATGAAGTTGTAGTAATTATACCCTCATTGAAATTTATAGGGCTGGACAGACCCAACAATATTCTCTGCAGTTGTATTTGTGTAACTTTGACCAAGCTCTGGTCTATTTTGGTTTGATCTATTTAACAACGTGACACGAATGCCATGTGTCAGAGAGAAAGAACATCCACATTTGGTTGTGTTTACAGTTGACAAGTACAAGGTAACATACAAGGTAAAATCTCCAGGTTCCACCGCATATATTTTCATCTGGAAACACAGTTTGTATTATGCAAGCGGGGCAGACTTGGAAGTGCTCTAACAATAAACGATTTTAAAAAAGTCTACTTTAATCATGGCGCTTGGCAATCAGTGTTTCATCACCTCCCTCTGTGTCTTTCAGGAGGAACCATTGACATCACCGTTCATGAAGTCCTTGAGCACAGAGTTTTGAGGGAGCTGCTCAAAGCCTCTGGGAACAATCTAGGTGGACAAACTGTGGACAGAAAATTTAAAGAGTTTCTCAGAGATATATTCTCTCCTGAAATATGGGATGAATATGAGGAAAAGTATCCCCATGAGGTTACAAGAATTGTTAATGACTTCACACTTTTCAAAAGAAATGATGATAATGTACAAATCATCTGTCCACTAAATCTAGGAACGATGGCTCAAAAAAAACAAAACATGGAGGAGTTCTTTAAAAATGTGCATGGAGCATCTTATGACGAGGGATCAATCAATATATCGAATGAAAAACGAATATCTTTCTTTGAAGAGTCTCTTTGTAGCATCACTCGGCTTCTCAGAGGCATCTTGAGCCAACTACAGAACATTGAGTACATTCTGTTAGTTGGAGGTTTTGCTGAAAGTCAGATTCTACATAAACACATTACTGATGAGTTTATAGATATCTGTAAAGTTCTGTGTCCACTAAGGCCCCAAGAAGCTATAATGAAGGGAGCAGTAGAGTTTGGAAGAAACCCAGGAGTAGTTGTATCAAGAAAAAGTGCCTATACTTATGGAGTTAGTCTTTTAGAGTGGTTTGATGAGTCCAAGCACAGGGCAGACAAGAAATACTCAAACAAAGAGGGTGACTTGTGCAGGGACATTTTTGGAAAGCTGGTTGAAATTGGTGAGGATATTGGCTGGAATGAAACCAGAGAGCATTTCATATCACCTTTAGAAAGAGATCAAACAGAGATAACCCTTGCGTTTTATCGCACAAAGAAAAGAAATCCCACATATGTGGATGAGCCAAAAGTAGAAAAAATTGGTTCATTGGTTGTTCAGTCACCCGACACCACAATTGGAATGGATCGTGTGATTGACCTAGATATACGGTTTGGCTCCACAGAAATGACAGCGACTGCCACTGACAGGGAGTCAGGGATCGTACACACAGTTGACCTAGACTTCATGAGAAACTAATTGCCATAGCAATTAGAATTACCTAATCTATTTGAAACCAATGTATGCACTTACTTGGCAACATTTACATTTTTTATCTGCGAATATAAAACCGTTTTATTGGTAAAATAATCTAAATTAAATGCAGCTGAAAAGGTTGAGGAACCGGGCAAAGGAGCAATTCCTACTGTTGGCAAAACTCCTGTAAAGAATAAAGGAATGTTTAAAAGCTGCATCTGGTCCTTGGACTAGAAAGCGGATGAAGAAGCAGAGTTTGCAGTGCATTTTCTAGCAAATCCATGCATCATTGCCTCTATTATTACTTATGAGCCTGAAATGTTAAAAGCACTGGTATGTTCTGCCATAACAAGCCACAGATTTGTTGCATCATATAAGCAAACTCCTTCTATGTGTATAATGTTTATATTATTGTATTTTTTCTTGTCTGGATTATTTATTTATATGTATTATGTGCTCTTTCTGGACTTGTTCCATTTTATTTGATCTGCTCATCTTTGAAAGCATTTATAGTCTGTAAATGATACCTAGATTTTTGTACTTTATTGTTTCTATATATTTTATAACTATTTATATTTTCTGTATCCTTAAATTTACTTTACTACCGATGCACATTTTACGTGTCCGGCTGCTAAAACAATTTACTTGTTCCTGTAGATGGCTAACAAAGTTGTTTTTATCTCAGAGATTGGCAGAGTACACAAAAAATTGTACTGATGTAAGAGTAGACATTCTGTAGAAAGTAATCTACTGAAAAATTATTCAAGAGAAAAAAAGGATTTGGTAAGTAGGCTAATTAAGCACAAAGTAACTAATTATAACAGTTAATTTAGTCATTTTAAATTGATAAATCTGACAGGAAAAAATATAAAAGTTACGTAGACATTCAAATTCTTAATTTTTAAAGACTAAAAAAAGAAAGTGCTCACGGTGAAAAAAAGGGAAAAGGTGCATCAATTAGCTAAAGAACATGTTAAAGGTCCCATTTCATGCTACACTTGAAAATAAAACAAATAAACATTAACAATGAACCATCAAGAGCATGTATTTGCCATCTGTGCGGGAAAATTCTTCTCAAATTAGGCAGATAGCCTATACCAAAAATCTTCTCATTCAGCTCTTTTGGGGTTCCACGTCCTGCTGAAGGCTGCGCCCCCACGACTCGTAGCCATGGTAACCAGTCAAAGTTCTTAAAGCTGCAGTCTGTTACATTAAGAAGAGAGCAGACTTCGACTGAAAATTTTAAGAAAAACAGGTTTCACGCCACTCCCCCACCCTCTCTACTTCACTCATGCCCCACCTCCAAGCTTCACCCCTCTCACAGCATCTGCGCGGCTACCGCATGCGACCAGAAGCGTCCAAGCAGCGTACGCGGCAGCTCTTCCATTGACATCTTCTTTTTTGAAGTCTTTGCCATGTAAGCAGATGTCGGCAGGGGCAGTAAGGGCAGTTTCTCTTTCGCTGGTGGCTGTCGCTTTGCCATGACTTCCACGTGCGTCCTCCTGACTGCAGCAGCCGGGCGGCAGCGGCAGGTTCAGCGGTGAGAGGGAGGGGGCGGGATTCAGCGTGTGTGAGCTGTGATTGACACTCCATCAGACGCTCCTCTGGCTGTGATTGGTTGTTTTGTGTCGTCCCGAAATATTCTTTCCAGATTGCAATACAGACAGTAGGTGGGACCAATTGAAGCAGTTTTTTTCACAGGTTACATATCACATGTACTGCTGTCTGGGCATAGGGACAGTTTTAGCCAATATGACAAAAAAGTGATTTTTAAAAACTTACAGACTTCAGCTTTAAAGATAGTCTAGGTGCGTGGCATAATTCATAACATGAAGGCTACAACCTGGTCTGGACAGCTTATTTCCCCTTATGACATCATAAAGGGCTGTGTTTTTTTGAAAACATACCTTTTTGATCAAACATTAGCTACGTGGGGAAGAAAGGCAGTCAGAGAAGTGAGAGTGTCTTGCAAGTTTAATGCAACTTTTTTTAAGGCAACCATTGTGTTCCACAAAGGAATCAAAGAGCAAAGGAATATCTAGCAGTTGGTCCTTGAGGACTTGAGTTTTCCACATCTAGAGGTGCCTTGTGTGTGATGTGAGAGGACTGGACATAATACCATAGTTGCTGAACAAAAGAAGGACTCAGTAGGTGAAAGTAGATATGAATACCTACGTTTCACCATGAAGAGTACAGGATTAGAATTAATCCATTTGAAGTCTTTAGGACATTTATAAAAAGTCAAAGCTGGGAGCAACAGTGTTTTTGTATCCAGCTTCAGCATCTGTGTGCTTCTGTGAGAGAGAATGAAACATAGAATTCAACAACAGCACAGATCTTCCAAACCGTAAAGCACATTGATGCGATTCCAACACTGATTTTTTTTTCAATTCCATACCTTCTTTTCATTTAATCTGTTGCAATTGCGTCTTCTTTACACGTATCCTGCTTTCTATAAACATTGACCTCATAGCTGATTTATTCCAGATGTAAACTGCACATGCATTATCTGTTTAAATATTACCAGCAGACCTAATCTTTATTGATGTTAATAATTAAATAGTGCATTTCAAATGAAGATACAATTGCTTTTGATGCAGCACTTTACATTCTTTCCTAAGATTCTTGTAATATAGAATATTACATAGTTGCAATTATAATTACCTTGTCTCTTACAGATGTTAAATGATGAAGTTATGTCCCCTAAAAAGGCAATTGCGCCTTGGGACTTCCCCACCGGTTCTTTTCCTGGGAGCAAGTTACTTACTACTCTTAACTCAAACTGGGTAAAACCAAATAAAAAAGGACTATAAAAACAGGAGTAAAAAAGTAACAGATTTTATTCCAGATCAGGTCGTTACAGGACAAAGAAAAATGCTTGGAGCTTGCACAGATGTGGGCTCAAAAATCACGTCTGCGAGCATCCGGCAAAGATTGAGCCCCGAGCAAGGTCTTCTTCTCCTTCTTATAGCTCATGAGTCTATGTGTTGGATCATGTGGATGTTAAGCAGTCCGTATCAGAAACTGACACGCCATCCATGCCCTGACCTGTATGCATCTTGCCACTATTCCCAAGAATTACAGATAGCTACCCTTTATCAGACAGGCTGCAAGACGTGCCTATATGCTGTGTATCTTTAAAAGACAAGAAAGCTGTCCTATTTAGATGACCTACTTACACACAGTGACATCCACAATGTGAAGGAAGGCCATCTACTCTCTCTAACCTGGCTAACAAAGTAACAATGCCCATGATGTATAAAGATTAAACCTAACACAGATAACCGGTAAAAACCAAGCAGAGGTGACAAAAAACCCTATCTTATCTTATCACAGACTTATCTCCCTGAACATAAATGTGAACAAAGTGTAGAAATTATCTCCATCGATCCTTTTGCCAACTGGTGTCAAAAATCAGAACAGAAAACTCAGTATTTAGACAGACAGACAGTATGAGCATTTATTTATTTATTTTTTCCCCCCCTTTCATGTTCACCATTATGGCAACAGAATTTAAATTCGAGTGCTGTGCTCTGCCAAAACCTTTTTTTGCCAAGGAAGGCTTGTCGGGATGAAGACCCTCCTTTGATCATCCAATCCTGCTTTATTGTTCATTTAAGATTTATTTTTATTAAATAAGTAATATGAGTAATGCCAAGCCTGACAGGGGGACAGGGTAAGAGACTGAAAAGAAAGAAAGAGAAGAAAGAAAAAACACACACACACACACACACAAATAGCTGCTGTATCCGTAGAAGACAAAAAATGTCCTGTGGTCACTCTGGGCAAACCCGAGGGAAAACCTGTAGGAGCGCCTGCAAACATACATGCATAGGGGGCCCTGCCACCGGCCCCGCTCAAGCAATCTGGAGAGGGCAGAGAGGACCTCAGAACCAGTCCACCAGCGGCCAACCCAAAGCACATAGACCAGGAAGACCACCGCAGAGACAATGGGCCCCCACCCAGAGGGTCACAAAGGAAGCCCCCTAATAGAGCCCCCCAAGACCATAGGGCTGTGGTCCCCCCAGGAGCCATGAGAGACAGCACTCCGTCCCCTCAGACCCCGGTCACCCAGACACAGGACAAGGGCCGAAACCCAAGCCCCACAAGCCAGAGCGCCACCAAACCACCACAGCAGAGCCCATACTCCTGAGCATCCGAGAGAGCCAGGCACCCCGGACAGCCCAATGCAGCGGACCAGCTCATACCCCAGCACCACTGACCACCTCTGTGCCCCGGAAGCCACAACATGGCTGCAGGTTGGTGCAGCAGCAAGGGAAAGCCAGGGCGTGCCCAGTCCAACGCCAGCAGCAGCACAGGTGGGCCCGGGGACATTCGAACCAGAACCAGATCCAATCATAGCCCCAATCACACCAATCAGACTGTTACGGCCCGCACAGGGCACACAACATATGAAGTCCAGACCAAGTTACACAAACAAAAGGTTTGATTCAGACTGTGGCTGGACATAGAGGTACTGGGGAATCGTGGCAAATAAACAAAAGGGTGGGAGCATTCGCGAACCAGCCCACTTCAAAAACGATCTAGAAATAACAAAAAAACAAATTTCTTAAATTAAGTGTATTCACCCTTATTTTGAGTAGATAAATGAGATAGTTTGCCAATGGAATTAGTAATTTTACACTTAAAGTAAGATAATTAGATAATATGCACTTAAAATAAGAATGCAATTGTGTTTTCTTATTTTAAGTGTAAATTGTCTTGTTCCATTGGCAAAATGTCTCCTCAATTCAAGAACAAATGCACTTATTTTAAGAAGAAAGGACTTACCTAGATTTTGATTTTTTGCAGTGCCAGCAGTTGACTGTCAGATTCGGGCCGCTCCCCTCACCCTGCCTTGCCGGATCACTCGCCCTACAACCAAAAACCGGAAAACCCCAGCTCGGCCAACGATCCCCAGACCTAACAACCTGAGGGAAAGTTAACAAACAGAAAAACACATCGAAGGAGCGGGAGTGAGGCTTGGAGACACGCCACCAAACAGGAGTTCTCCCAAACTTCCTCGCTTACTCTGGTGGGTGGGGCTTGATCCCTTTAAACTCTCCCCAGCCAATCAACTGCAAGAAGAAAACAGCAATTAAACAGGGATTTATTCACAACAGTGACAGGAGCGCGTCACACCTCCACCCCTAAATGCTGCATGGGGACTTTGGGTCACCATGCACCATCAGTAGTAGGAACGAGACAGTGCGTCAGCCAAGATGTTATCCTTACCCTTTATATGCTTTACCTCTAAACAGAAGGACTGAAGATAAAGGGCCCACCGCATCAGCCGTTGATTGGAGTTACGCATTTGTTGAATAAAGACGAGCGGGTTATGATCGGTGTAAACCACAATTGGGCCACTAAAGGAGCCCACATAGACCTTGAAGTGTTTCAAAGCCATAATCAGCGCCAGTGCCTCCTTTTCTATTGTACACCTTTTGGTGCCTATTACACCTTTTGGTGCCTATTAAAGCTACAGTGTGTAATAATTACAGGGATATACAGTCAGAAATGTAATATATTATACATAACTATGTTATTTATCATCATCTACGAGCTCAGCCTCTTTACCTTAATATTTGCGTTGCCTTACAATTCGTTATTTATAATTACATAGGAGCGGGTCTCGCAGCCATGGAGGCAGACATCTTTGTGCTACGGCAGCGCAGAGCCAACAAACTAGCGATTGCGAGATCGCCCATTACGCTCGAAAGTAACTACGGCAAGTTGAGAGAGATGAGATGGTACTGAACAATAGATGGCAGTATTAAAATTATCTATGTAAACAAACCTCATCACTTGAGAAGGTAGGTGATGCGGACGTCGTGGAAGACATTTTGTCTCGCGGTACTGTTGGGGGGGAGAAGCGGTGGGGGGGAGATGTTCATGTTGCTGCGGTCTACAGTCTGGACCTTAGATGTCGCTGAAAATTACACACTGTAGCTTTAAATTTCTTTGAGAAATAGCACACAGTGTGTTCTATCCCATCTGAGCCGTCTTGCAAAAGAACCGCACCAGCTCC